GCCCAGCGGGAGTGAGCTGAGCTCACCACTGTCCTTGCTATCGGTTCCAGGGCCACCACTCACTGCAACCACATCCCCCGAACCCAGTCACTTGGGGGCAGGAAGTGGGATATTGAAGCTGGGCATCCTAGAACCCACAGCCAGGATGACTACATTCCTGGTTCCCAGGCCCAAGGCACTGCCAGTCACCTCTGAAGAAGTAACCTGGAAATGAGTCACTGAAGGAGACAGGGGCATGAGGCCTGCAGGAGAGAGACTCATGGACCACTTGGCTGCTGTGACCACATTTCAAGAGGGGCTGCCAGGGCAAGTGAGACACAGGTGGATCCGGGGGAAAACTGCCACCACTAAGGCCCTTTCACACAGTCAGAGCTTCTCTGTTAAAAAGGGCTCATCGGATGCCATAGCAAGGGGAAGCCAGTTAGGGGCCAGGAAAGGGACAACCCCCACAGGGTCTTTTCCAACTCTGAGTATGGCATTCCACAACACAGAAGTATTGCCTCTTGGGCCCCAGAGATCACCCTATAACCAGCTGCCCGTCGTGCCTCACCTGTGATCTCAGCAGCTGGACTGGCCACCCCTGGGGCTTCCGTGCTGCCGGGGACAGGATTAGGGGTGGTCACCTGGGGACTGCTTGGGCGTGAGGCATCCTGGGGCTGGGCCAGGGCAGGCTTGGGCAGAGGCGAAGGGGTAGAGACAGCAGGTGGGCTCTGGAGCAGATCTTCGGGTGGTGGCACAGGCACTGCCACGGGTGGTGAGCTCCATGCCTCCTTGTTCACCAGCAGCACCTCAATGGGGCCACTCACACTCTTCAGGTGAATCTGGTACTTCTTCTGCCCATTGAGGCCCTGGAGGTGGGGGACAGGTGGAAATGGAAGCAGGCTTGGCTCCTGCCTGACCTGGGGCCAGGGCCACAGTATCCTCTCCCACCCCAGGCTGCCCGTCCTCCTAGATAACCCCAAACCCCAGGCACCCCCCTACCTGCCCCACCCGGGACTTATCGGGTTCCACAGCCAGCACCCGCCCTCAATCAACCCCGCCTGCCTGGGCTGAGCACCCACCTCTGGGATGGGCACCTCCAGGCTGGTGCCTGATGGGGCCCGGATGGCCAGGAGGGTGTCTCCTACAATGACAAGGAGGATAGGTCAGGGCCTATGGGCTCAATCTGAGCTGGGAATGGGGGTGCCTATCCCTTGGAACAAGGATCATGGTCTCTGAGGGGGTGGACAGTAGGCCTTACCCATACTCCATGGTGGCTGAAGCAGAGAACTAAACCTTTTCTCCTCCCAAGAGCCCAGGGGTCAGTAACCAGTAAATCTAGTTTCAAACATGAGGCAAACACTAGTTTCAAAGACCGCTGGCCTTGGGCATCTCACTTCTCAATTGATAGGGCTGCTGCTCCCTAGGTGTAGGTGTTCAGGCCAAGGCCAACATCCCTTCCCCAGGACCAATCTGGGGGATGCAAGATGGAGAAGGAACAGTTCCTGTATTCACAATGCAACTAACTACAGGTTGGAAATGGGCACCCTTGCCCCCTGCATACAAGCGTGCACACATACTCTCCCCCTTATGCCTGTCACGCCTGAGAAGCCATACTCGGGGACAGTGCAGATGGTGGCTGACCTGGGATCCAGCCCAGGATTCTTGTACCCTCTCAGTATGGTTGGCCTCCACAGGGTCCCAGTGACCCTCAAACCCAGGACTTACCCTGCCTGGTTCCTCTTTGGCAGGCCCCAGGAGCCCTCTTAAGAGACGGAACTCTCCTTGGGCACTGAGGCCACTGCTCAGAGCTGTGGCTCAGCCCATGCCCTCCCCCATCTCCCCCTACCCAGGCTCTGCTCACCAGCAAAGCATCTGCAGATGTCCTCGTGAGTCACGTAGGCCAAGGTGTGGGGGTTAAGGAGAATGGCTGATGCCCTGCCTATGGTGACAGATGGCAGACCACAGAGAAGACCCAGCTCTTTAGCAAAGGTCTGACATACAAACCCTCAAAGAAAGTCCTGGGCCTTGGGGTCTACATGGGGAGGGATCACAGGCCAAGACGGGTAGGGGAGGGGCTCTGAGGAGGGAGCCCCAGGCTGGGAGCTGGCCAGGAGCTGCAGGACCATCCTCCCAAGAGTAAAAGGGCCTAGGGTACCAGAAAGCAAACCCAGCTGGACTAGAGGGCCCCTCGCCCACTCCCTGGGAGCAGGGACTGCCAGGAGGATATCAGCTGTTCTGCACGTCCTCTGTGACGTTCCGGATGCTCTGCTGCACCCACACCTTGTGCTGGTCCAGTTCTTGCTCCCGCTGCTGCAGCTCCTCGATCTCTGCCTTGAGCTCAATCAGCTTGTCCGCAATCTCTCGGGTATTGCAGCCAGGCCCCACGCCTCTGAGCCCAGGGAACCAGGCTGAGAGGGGCTGCCAGGAACTCTGGGTCCCATGGCCCCTACTCTCTCCTGTACCCTCCACCCCACACCCCTGACACTTCCGGGTAGGAGATCCCATCGCCCTCCCAGGTGTCCCCACTCACTTCCACTGGATGCTATTCTTGGATTTTTTCTCGATCAATCCGATCCCTTCCAGCACGTTGGTAATGTCGTAAATCCGCCGCTTCTGGCGCACAGCTAGGGTGTCAGCTGCCTGGCAGACAAAACGGAGTGGAGGACGCTGAGCCGCACTCTCAGGTGTACTCCCAGCTACCTTGAGACTTGGTCTGGAGTGGTCAGGAAAGAGGGTGGCCGGGGCCCCAACCCTCCTCCCAGGCACTACAGCAACTCAGGACCGCGGCGCGGGAAGTGTCCTGGCACAGCCTAAACTGATGTTCTGATGCTGTTCTCCCCACAGCAGCCGGGGAGGGCCACGAGGACCAGCACCTGCAGCCCCGAGCCTGACACAGCTGACGCCCAATAACCTCGCCGAATGAATGAAACAGCTCCCGGCCTCCCTCCTGTGAGAAAGCACACAGATGGCGGCCTACTCTCTGGGGCTCAGCGGGGCCGCCCCGGGGGGTTCCCGCTACCAGCCACAGGCCTGGTCCACCATCCTCCCTGTCGCCCCTTAGTCCGGGCCGCACCAGCTTGAGGTCAAGCACGCCGTCCTTGGCCTCCTGCAGAAGCGACACGAACTTGGTGGTGAGAAGTCCCAAGCTCTTCTCATGCCGGCTTGGGGTACCCGGGGGCGGCGGCGCCTGTGGCCCGGCCTCCGCCATCGCGCCTGCCCGCCGCCTCCCCTCAGCCAGGCCAGGCCAGGCCGGCGCCGCCGCCACTTCCGCTTCCGTTCCTGGCCACCCGGCCGCCAGCGCCAGCGTCGCTGATTCCGCTTCCGCCCCGCGCCCTCCCAGGGAACCCGGCGCAATTCCTCTCTGCCGTCAGGGCCGAAAACTTCGGGGACCATCAGCAAATGTCCAACCGCCAAAGAGGACGAAAACAACCGACAGGCCCGGGAAACAGGATATGGTGCCGAGGGAGGAAGTCGGTGGGCAGCCCTGGCAGTAGAGAAGGGGGAGCCACTGGAAACTTACTGGCTAGCCAACTTGCCCCAACTCCACTAACTCTGCCCCATCCCCCATCTTGGGAGAGGAGACCATGCTGCCTGATGAACCCAATGTGTTTCTCCAAATCTGCTCCTAGAGGCTGCCCCGCCTTCTTGGGGCACCCTATTCCTGTCTCTCATTTCCTGCCAACAGCAAGCACTAACTACAGCTAGCTTATCCACTTGTCTCCATCCCCACCCCCCTTCCCTGTCCCAGCCTCATCTTTCTCTTGTCTCCATAATTCAGTGCTGAGAAACCATGGAATTATAACTACTTTTCAGCCAATGCAAACATGTTTACCTATATGTAAAAATATATAAAGCACTTAGAGCTGTTCCTGGTGTGGAAGGATTATGTGTTTGCTAGTATCATTTTGTTATTTTTAACATTGTAATTATTTATTATTGTTTATTTTAGGTCAGGTTCTTTGGGAAACAGACTTTGACAGGGATTTGGCTGCAGAAAGTTTATTGAGGATCCACACTTGTAAGGGAGTAAGACAAACAGAATTGGGCAGAGAGGGGAATTAAACTGTGATGCAGTTATAATAGATGGCTCAGCTCATCCTACTAGGAGCTCTGAAACTGGGGTGGCCCTTCCAAGGCATTCCACATTCAGGCAAGGGTAATGGGCCTTTGTGCCCTAACATTGACCAGGACACTCAGCTGTGAGACCTCAGTAGCCTACACTCCCGGCAGCTAGGGGAACTAGTGTCTTTGTCCTGAGGATGGATTTGGGTGTGCACCAGAGTCCACTGCATTATTACTACCTTTTAGTCCCTTCCATGGCCCCCTTTAACTCTCAAGATAAACACAGCTTTCATAGCCCTTCCACCCTCTCCTGCCATCACCCACCACACACCTTCTTCACAACAGCCTGCGGTCTCTCCTCTGCAGAGGCACACACCCTCCTCTGAGGGGTCCTTCCACACAGTTTTCATTCTGTGATGTTGTTGTCTGCATCCATATTTGCACACCCCACTCTCCACCCCAGGTTGGGGCCATCGAGTTCATGTCCATGTCCCGAGCATGAAAAGGTCCTGGGTAGGCTGGTCAAGACTCAATGATCACAGGGCGTACACCCCCCTCCCCCCAAGGAAGTGGTGCCCAGCCCTCCCCGCCCCATCTCACAGTGCAGATGTTCTTTCCTGTTGGGAATAAAGCACCAGAGACTCAGCTTCCTTCCTTTCTGCATGTGGCCTTGGGGAGGGAGGGGCCTTGGAAGGAGGAGGGGGCTCCTGGGCAGGGAGGTGGGACAGAGGCTTCCTTGGGGAGAAGAATTCTGCGCACGCCGAGGTGTGGGCCACAGCCACCCAGGCCTCGTGAGCCAGTGGAGGGAGTGTCCAGCTCTGCTGTGAGGGCCGGGGGAGAGGGCCATCCTCAAGGCCAAGGCTGTTTGCGGAGGAGAGAGAACTGGTCAAGCCTGGTGAGTTCCAAACCAAGCTGCCCTCTTTAACGCAGAGCAGGAACGGGGTCCAGCAGAGGCCTGTGCCTACCCTGCCTCACTTGGCACCTGCTGGGGCAAAACTGAGAAACCCAGCAGGCAAGGGCTTCTCAGGTGCTTCCCCATCACACCCACCTCTCTCTCATTTCCTGAGGGGGCTGGGCAAGGACCTCTCTCCTCCTTCTCAGAGGGGCCTAGAGGGAGGCTGCAGCTCAAAGGAGGATCTACTCTGCCTGCTGTAACCCAGACCCTCACCCCTATTCCTACCTCAGCTCCGGCTCCTCCAGGGCCTGCCATGGACTCAGCAGCCAAGGACGAAATGCAGCCGGCACTTCCCCCTGGTATGAACCCTCTGGGTGGGCTGAGGGAGGGACGGTGGCAAGAAAGATGGGAATGGTGGGATTGGGTCCTCCCTGCCAGGTCTGGCTGGAGCTCTATAGGGCAGTGAGAGGAGAGACTGCCCTGGGGGACAGGCTGAGGAGTAGGAAGGGGAGCAGGTTCGGCGGCCACTTCCTGCAGGCCCTGCCCAACTGACGTGCTGCCCAGGCTCTTCCTGCCCAGGGCCTGAGTGGCCGGAGCAGGAGAGGGCGGAGCGGCTGGCCCGAGGCGCAGCACTCAAGTGGGCTTCGGGCATCTTCTACCGGCCGGAGCAGCTGGCCAGGCTGGGCCAATATCGCAGCCGTGAGGTGCAGCGTACCTGCTCCCTGGAAGCACGCATCAAGGTGGGCAGCAGGCAGGGGGCAGGAGTGCTGGGGGTGGGCTGCAGGGCTGGTCAGACATCACTGGCTGCCTCTCTCTCACAGTCGGTGGTGCAGTCATACCTGGAGGGCGTGAAGACTGGTGTGTGGCAGCTGGCTCGGGCCCTTGAGGCCGTGCAGGGAGCCCGTGAGGCCCTGGGCCAGGCCCGCGGGTTGCTCGGGGGCATGGCAGAGGCAACACAGACCCTAGAGCCGCTGCGAGAGCGGGTTGCCCAGCACAAGCAACTGCAGGCCCTGTCTCAGCTGCTGCCCCGGCTGCAGGCAGGTGAGTGTGCAGGGGCACTGGGCCTCAGCCCTCCAACACTTAGTCAACAAATGCCCATCACTAATCAAGGGGCGGGGGCACTAGTGAGAGACTGCATGGAGGGACACACCACGGACCTCCCAGAGAGTAACTTAGGCTTCAAATGGCATATGAAGCAGGGTGCAAGTCAGCTCATTCTGGGGTTCTCAAGCATGGGATGTCTGAGTCAGGACTGACACCCAGTCAAGCAGCTCTGGACACCCTCATTGTTAATATGTTGAAATATCCCTAAAAGAGTGGGTGAATAGCCACTAGCATGGTCCCCCAGTTCCTCCCTGTCTTCCCTCCAGGATCCCTGACTTCCTCACGTTCCATCAGCTCAAGGGTTTACACCAGGCCCACCAGGCTGCTAGGACCTTCCCTGGCTCCTTTCAGATTGGCCAATGCTCTACTGTACCAGTTATTAAATATTTTATTTATTTATTTATTTATTTTTTGTGAGGAAGATCAGCCCTGAGCTAACATCCATGCCAATCCTCCTCTTTTTGCTGAGGAAGACCGGCCCTGAGCTAACATCCGTGCTTGTCTTCCTCCACTTTATATGGGACATCGCCACAGCATGGCCTGACAAGTGGTGCATCGGTGCGCGCCCGGGATCCGAACCTGGGCCGCCAGCAGCGGAGTGCGTGCACTTAACCGCTACACCACAGGGCCGGCCCCGGTTATTAAATATTTTAGACATCACCGCAGCCCCAGGGCCTCAGCATCTGCTGCTGTACCCATTACACAGGTGAGAGGGCTGAGACCCAGGGCTGTCTTCTTTCCTCCATCCTTAGTGCCGGCTGCAGTGGCCCACACACAGACCCTGATCAGTGCCCAGCGGCTCTTGGAGGCATATGTGAGCCTTCGGGAGCTGGAGCAGCTGCGAGAGGAGACCTGGGCACCTCTCGGGGGCCTGGAGCTGCCAGTCTTCGAGGGGCTGGGCCATCTAGCTGAGGCATTGGGCCAGGCTGTGGAGGCAGCTGCAGGGGCTGCGGGGCAGCTGGCACGGGAGGACCCAGCCCTGCTAGTGGCTGCTGTGCGCGTGGCAGAGGTGGATGCTGGGCACACAACCTCCCTGGAACAGGCTCCTCGGGACTGGCGGCAGCGCTGTCTGCAGGCGCTACAGGAAGGCCTGGAGCGGATCCACTTTGGAACACTGTTGCCTGGGCCTGGGGCCCTAGAAGGGTGGCTGGAAGCTCTGCGGGTGGCTCTACCAGCCGAGTTGGCCACAGCTGAGGCACTAGTAGCACCCTGCTGCCCACCACACTACAAGGTGGTCCAGCTCTGGGCCCACACCCTGCACAGCGGCCTGCGCCACTGCCTGCAGCAACTCCTGGAAGGGCCTGAGCTGGGAGCTGCTGATGCCTTCACCTTGCTGCATTGGGCACTGCATGTGTACCTGGGGTCAGTGCCCTTGGGGCAATGGGAAGTGGGTGGGTCAGAGGCTGGGGGTTCAGCATGACACTGGGCTATCCATCTCTAGGCCAGAAATGATGGGGAGCTTGGAGTGCCTGGAGTTGGGGCCTGAGGCTGATGTGTCTCAGCTGGAACCCCTCCTGACCGCAGAGAACATAGAACATCTAGAGGCAACATTTGTGGCCAAAGTCCAGGTGAGTAGTTGGGGCCAGGTCCAAAGAAGCTTTGCCACCAGCTGTGGGCCTGTATCTGCTGAGTCACATGTCTACCTGTCTCTAGCAGTATCAGTGTCCTGCTACATCCTGCTGCCCCTTGCTCCTTCCCCTAGGCAAGTGTGGCCCAGTGGCTGCAGAAAGCACTGGATGGGGAGGTAGCCGAGTGGAGCCGAGAGCAAGAGCCTGACACAGACACGTCTGGCTTCTACCACTCACCAATGCCGGCCATTGTGTTGCAGGTGGGTGGGAAGTGGTGAGGCAGGTGGGCAGCCCCCTTAAGGAAGGGGAGGAGGGCAGGGTTAAGACTCTGCTGATGGCTGCCCATCCCTGCCTGTAGATCCTGGAAGAGAACATTCGTGTAACGAGCCTGGTCAGTGAGTCGCTGCAGCAGCGGGTGCATGGCATGGCACTGTCAGAACTGGGCACATTTCTGAGGAGGTCTGCCATGGCACTGACCCACTCCTAACCCCTGGCCCTGCTCCTGGGGCAGTCCAAAGGGGCTGCGAGTGAATAAGGCACACCAGTGGGAAATGGATCCTCCAAAACAGGGCCTTGGGTATCTTGGAGGTGGGGCTGGAGTACCAGAGACTGGGGTTGTGGGAGCACCACAGTGACAGCAGGTACAGGAGCCACCTCTGCCCTTTGCAGCTTCAGTGATGCTCTGATCCGATTCTCGCGAGACCACCTCAGGGGGGAAGCAATGGCCCCTCACTATGTACCCTACCTACTGGCCACCCTCAACCACCAATCAGCACTCAGGTACCAGGAGGCCCCCACTGAACCCCACCTTCACTAACCCCTAACTGAACACCTATTAGGTATGGACTCAGCCCACATTAGGCCATTAGGAATTTTGGACTCATGTAGCCCTGGGGGTCCAATCCTAGTTCTACTAATTACTATCTGGGTGACCTTGAGCGAGTTACCTAATCTCTCTGAATCTTGCTTTTCTCATAAGTATTGTACGGGTAATAAGGGGATGTTCTGAGAATCACATGATATAACAAGTGTGAAGTACTTACCACAGTGCCTGGCACATAGTCATTATTCATTCATTCAACAATACTTACCAATGCCCTACTCTGTGCCAGGTAATGTCTGGGGTTACAGCTGTGAACAAAGAAAAAAAATTCCCGGGCTGGCCCCGTGGCTTAGCGGTTAAGTGCGAGTGCTCGGCTACTGGCGGCCCTGGTGCGGATCCCGGGTGCGCAACGACGCACCGCTTCTCCAGCCACGCTGAGGCCACGTCCCACATACAGCAACTAGAAGGATGTGCAACTATGATATACAACTATCTACTGGGGCTTTGGGGAAAAAAAAGGAGGAGGATTGGTGATAGATGTTAGCTCAGAGCTGGTCTTCCTCAGCAAAAAGAGGAGGATTAGCGTGGATGTTAGCTCAGGGCTGATCTTCACAAAACAACAACAACAAAAAATTCCCTTCCTTTTGGGTCTTATGTTCTTTGGAATGGGGGCAGAGAGGACAAACAAGTTAATGATGATTTTTACTCCCTCTTGCCAATGATTAACTCTCTCCCCTTATAGAAACAGAAACCAAAAGACATGATTTGCTCAAGGTCACACTGCGAATTAGAGGCAGGTCGGGCTAGGCTGTGTCCCTTCTAGCTCGCTGAGCCCACCACTCCCAGCCTCAGTCGACGACCCAGGCCTTCAGAAGTGCCGGGAGCCGCCCTTCTTGCCCCCTCCCGCCACACACTTGCGCCACTAGGTGGCGCTGGAGTGGCTAGACAACCGAGGGCCGTGTGGGCCTTGGCCTTGGTCCTGAAGCTGTACTTTTGGTCGGTCCAGCTCCTCCGTGTCCGTCCTGCAGCCCAACGGGGAGGCTTCAGGGGCCCTGGCTCCGGTGGAGGCAGCGCTGGACGAGTTGCAGAGGAGGATCTGCCGCCTGGTGTTGGAGGCGCTGCTAGTGGAGCTCCAGGTGAGGCTTCAGGTGGGGATGGGGGTGGCAGGAGGAGATATAGCGTATGTATGGGGGTCTCTGCGGGGAATGCCGGGTCTGGATCGTCCCTCTAGCCCCGTCTTTGTCCCCCCTCCTCTAGCCCCTGTTCGAGGCTCTGCCCTCGCGTCGGTGGCTGTCGAGCTCGGAGCTGCTGGACGATGTGTGTGAGCGGACGGCGCGCTTCTGCCGGGACTTCTGGCGCGTGCGGAATCCCGCGCTCCAGGTGAGTTTGGGGGGAAAGGCTGGGGAGCGGGAAAGCGCCCATGAAAAAGGCATCCTGGACGCATTTGATCGCTCTCCCCGCAGCTGCTGCTGGCCGAGGTGGAGCGTACTGTGGTGCTGCAGTACCTACGTGCGCTGATGCAGGGCCGCCTAGTGTGCCGCGGCGCCGACGAGCGGACCCAGGCGGCCGAGCGCCTAAGGCACGATGCCGCCCAGCTTCAAGAGCTTTTCCTCGGTTTGGTGAGAGCTCGTTGGGCGAGCAGATAGGCGGGAATCTCAGTGGTTGGGTGGGGGCCGAGGGCCGGCGAGAGACCTATCCCCACGTGCTCAGGGCCTGGAGGAGAGCGTTCAGTGCGCGCCGGTGCTGCTCGCCCTGCGGGAGCTGCTGAATCTCCGCGACCCCATGCTGCTTGGCCTCGAGGTGGCAGGCCTGCGGCAACAATTTCCCGATGTGAGGTGCGAAGACTGGGTGGGGGAGAGGGATGGGGCAGAAAGGGAGGAGGGACTCGGGGGGGGCGGGGCGGGGCTGACTCACCTCCGTGGTGCCCCCTAGCGAGGATCACGTCTCTGCCCTCTTGGACCTGCGCGGAGACGTGTCCCGAGAGCAGCGCCTGGCCGCACTCAGCTCCCTGCAGGCTGGCCCACAGCCCTCGCCCCCAGTGGGTCGTCGAGCACTCTTCAGCCTCGTGCCAGCCCCTACGCCCGCGCCGTCCTCCTGCCTCCCCTCGAGGCCCTGTGCGTGACACCCGGCTGTCCGCAGAATAAAGCCTCAGCTCCCCTACGCCTGAATTATGTGTGTTGGGGAAGGGGGGATGAAATAAAAGTGCCCGTGAAGGTTAGGGGGTCTACGCACAGTGACATGCCTCAGGTATCCTGGCTACAATCCTGATATACGGCGTGCTCCCCACGTATTCCGGCATCACCTTTGTGTGTGGACTGCGTTCCCAAGTACCCGGGCTTCTGCCGCAGTACGCACACTACGCTCCCACGTATCCGCGCCGGGGCAGTGAGCTCCGGTCTCCTCGGCCCTGACTCGGATGACCGAGTAGCACCCGAAGCCCTGAAACACGCCTGACCCTCGTGAAGGGGGCGGACTTAAGACAACGCCCCGCCCAGGGGCGTGACCTGTTGGCGGACACCGCCCCCTCTGCTCTGCCTGGCCCCACCCCAGCTATGTTCTCGGGCGAGCGCCGCCGCGGAGATTGACGCGAATCCGCGAGCCTTCGTGTGAGCGTGCGCGCGCTCGAGTACTTGCGTCACCAGCGTCGGCTCCCCCGGGCTGGGCGGCTGGCGACTGGTGTTGCGGAGCGGGAACCGCGGTGGCGAGAAGGGGAGCGAACAGGTAGCGGCGCGGCACGCGGACGGAATCCCCACCCCCACCCCCGAGAGGCCGAGAAGGCGCGCGACGCGACCCCTCCTCATCTGCTAGGAAACCCCCTTCCATTGTCCTCTGGCCCCTCCCTCCATTGGGCACGCCCTTTGCCCCATTGCCCACCACTAATCGGCTGCAGGTCACGCCCCTCCTCGAGCTCCCCGTCCCCATTGGCTCCTCTTCCACGTTATCCTCTCCCGGAGTTTCTCATTGGCGCAGGCCACACCCTCTCAGCTTTCACTAGACTCCGCCTTCAATCTGGGCTCCTCCCCCAACCATCTTGCATTCATTCTGCGTCTAGTGCTGGGTGCTTGGGACATGAGGGTGAATCAGACCTGTCTTTGCTCGCAGGGAGTTCAGGGCATGGTAGGGGGACACGGACCTAGGCTCTGATAGTGACAGCCTAGGGCGGTAAAGAAGCCGCCTAGGCACTAGGAGCCTCTAAGACATCGGGAAGCCTTCCTGGAGGAGGTGAGGCCTAAACCGAGCACTAATGGTTAAGAGTTTGCTCCAGGGAGACAGTGGGAGGACATTCTTGGCAGAAGGACCTGAGACGTGAAAGAAACAGGCATACTCTAGTAATTGCAAAGAGGTAGGTCGAAAGAAAGAAGGGGAGATGCTGGTCCAGGTAGAGGCTTGGAGACCAGAGAGGGTCCAGAAAAGTTTGCTGTTAGTTGAGGGGAGTGAAGCCTGCAGCTCATCACTAGGCAGAGTGGAGGGAGATGGGGGAGAGGGGATTGGATCTACATGGGGAAACAGGGCAGGGGAGGAATGATTCCAGTTCTGAGACAGAGGAGGGCTCCTGGGTTCATTCATTTTATTAAGCAACTGTTCTGGGCCAGGTAGTGTTCTGAGTTCTGGGGACACAGCTTTGAACACTAAAAAGTGGAAAACAGATAACTAACCATTAAATATACTGTACTTCAGATGGTGATAACTGCCACAGAGAGCAATAATGTGGGGCAGGGGAGATTGTGGTGGGGAGGGGAGAGGAGGTTTACTAGTTTATAGAGAGTGTGTTAGGGAGGATTCTCTAATAACATATTTGTGCAGAAATCTGAGGAAAGTGAGAGAGCGACCCCTGCAATTTTATGGGGGGGAAACATTCCTGACGGGACATGTTCAGTTTGAGATGCGTGCTGTACATTCAGGTAAAGATGTTGAATTGAGAACTGGCAACACTGGTCTGAAGTTTCTGGAAGAAGTCTGGGCTGAAGATTTTTTTTTTTTAATTTTTATTTATTTATTTATTTTTTCCCCCCAAAGCCCCAGTAGATAGTTGTATGTCACAGCTGCACATCCTTCTAGTTGCTGCATGTGGGACGTGGCCTCAGCATGGCCGGAGAAGTGGTGCGTCGGTGCGTGCCCGGGATCCGAACCCCGGGCCGCCAGCAGCAGAGCGCGCGCACTTAACCGCCAAGCCACGGGGCCACCCCAGGGCTGAAGATTTTAAAACCATGAGAGTGGATGAGATCAGCTAGGCAGTGAGCATAAATGGAGAAGTTTCCATAGAAGTTTTCATGTCTTAGGGCATCACAGTGTCAGGAGGTCGGAAAGCAGGAAGACCAAGAACGAACACCGAGTGTGGTAGGAGGGGAACTATGTTTGAGTGTATTTGAGAAGCCAGGTGGAGAGTGTGTTTCTAGGATGAAGTGATTAACTGTGTCAGGTGCTATTGATCAATATGAAGATCATTGGTGACTTTGGTCAGATCAGTTTCGATGGAGAGTGGGGGACAAAAGCCTAATTGGAGGGGAATTTGAGAGAGAACAGGAAAGAAGGCATTGGAGATTGTTGATGACTCGAGGTGTGCTGCAACAAGGAGCAGCTGGAGGGAGAGGCAGTGGATCTGAAGGAGCATGGAGTCAAGTGAGTGTTTTGTTTTGCTTTTTTGAGATGGAGAAATAACAACATGTGCTTATGCTGATGGATAGAATCCAGTAGAGAGGAAGAGACTGATGATGTGGGAGACATAAGAGAGAGGGGAAATGCTGGAATTGTGTCCCTGAGGCGGCAAGGGAGTTTGGAGGCTGGAGTCTTCTGTCAGTCTCTGGGGAGAGGCTGGATTGGACTCAGCCGAGGTACAGAGTCAAGGGTGAGTGTCCTGACACCGCCCTTAGATGACCACTAGAAAGATGCCTCTGATAGGGGACAGACCAGGGATTGGCTTGGATTTGCTGAAGTTTCCCTGCTCCCCAAAACCAGATTTTAATTTGGATTTGAATAGATGGCCCAGAGGAGAGAGAGCATTCCAGGTGGAGGGACTAGCATAAGCAAGGGGCAGGCAGGCTTTCAAAATGACTGAGGCCAAATGGGCTGGAAGAGGTGGGTGGAGCCAGGTGGGAGGGGAGGAGTGAGACTGTGAAAATGCCATAGGTAGAAGGCAGGTAGAAGGTAGTGAGGCCCCCTCACCCATCATCCTGGCAGCTGAGGCTACACTATACCAGCTCCCAGTCTGGGTGGGCACAGGGATTAGAATCACGAGTAGGGGCTCAGGCCTTGCTCTCAGGAGCTCACAGGCTAAGGGGATTCCAGTAACCACCATCTCGGTGGATGTATAAGACTCATCCTCCTGCTTTACTCCAGTCCAGCTTGCTTGGGTGAACCTGCTGGAGGGAATGGACACTGGCGTAGAGGTGAGGGGGCAGCCACCGAGACCCCTGGAGGCGGGCCATGGGCCCAGCAAGGGCCCAGCAAGGGCAGTGTGGCACACAAGGCCTCTTGGTCCTCAGGCCACACCCACTCATGTTGGCCTCCCCGTGTCCTTCTGTGTCCCCAGAAGCCGACAGTGTGGGGAGTTGGAGTGACCGGCTGGATGTGACCCCCAGGACAGAATGGTGCTGGACTCAGGGGCTCAGGTGTATCAGCAGGCACCCCCCAGCCCACCAGCCAGTCCCTCATCCTTGGACCATAGGCTGAAGCCCTCAGACCGAGATGGGACGCCGCTGTACCCCTGGCCTCCATCCCTGGCCTTGCCCCTGGCTCTGTCAGTCCCCTCAGGCCTGCGGCCCCGGCCTGAGCTGCAGCCCTTCTCAGAGCTGCACTTGGGCCACCGTGGCCACATGCGTCGCAGTGAGAGCACCTACACCGTAAATAGTACTGGCCGGCGGGGGGCGGGCACCCAGGGTCAGGCCCCACCTAGACGGGGACAGGGCCCAGGTGGGGGCACCCTGCGGTCTGCAGCCTCCCTGCCTCACATTGCTAAGACTCGAAAAGATGCAGGCCGTGGTGCCAGCAGGAGCCCCTGCATGTTGGTGGCCCTGCGGCCAACCAACATGGACCGTGAGCGGGACAAGTTCTTCCAGTCCCATTACACCTACAACCCACAGTTCGAGTACCAGGAGCCCATGCCCACGGCTGTGCTGGAGAAGTACTGTGAGGCCTCTGGACAGTTCATCCATCAGGTCAGTCCAGCCTGCCCACCTCACCTTGGCTCTGTCCACCCAAGAGGCCTGGCCTGACCAGCCACTGTGGCCCTGTGTACAGGCAGTTGGCATCATTGAGGCTGTCCTGGAGAAGTTCGGTACCTATGAACACTTTGAGGCTGCAACTGGGGGCCAGCTGCTGACCAAGTGCCAGATATGGTCCATTGTGCGCAAGTACATGCAGAAGGAGGGCTGCGTCGGGGAGGTGAGCTTGCCCTGCCTGTGAGGCCCCTCTTCATGCCCCATACCAGGCTGCTGAGTGGGTGGTGCCAGGCCCGGCTCCACACCTGGCCAGCTAGTGACCCCAGGCAACCCCCTGTCCTTGTCCCAGTGAGATGGGAACTGGCTCTAGCAGGGTGGTGAAGGGTGGGTGTCCTGGCCAAGTGTCCCGCCTGGCTGCCCTATGGTATCAGTGGGTCTGCCTGGACACTGGCCCCGGGGCTGGTGATCATGGCTCAGGGCACTGCCATCTGCAGGTTGTGGTGCAGCTGAGTGAGGACCTGCTGTCCCAGGCAGTGATGATGGTGGAGAACAGCCGACCGACATTGGCCATCAACCTGACTGGAGCCCGCCAGTACTGGCTGGAGGGCATGCTGCGGCATGAGATAGGTCAGAGCGTGGGTAGGCGGGTGGGCCGGTAGGGATGAGAGGAGGTTGGGATGGGGGGCGGGCAGTGAGGGTCCCAGTAACCCTACGCCCTCTCTTTCTCCCCCTTCCCTCCGGAGGACGGGCCCTTTCCCTTCGTCAGCAGCTACCTCCTCCCTCTGGCTCACAGAGGTAGGCCAGTACATGCCTCCACTCTCTGGGCTTACCCTCATCTCTTGCTCCTTTGGGGTATCTTTTCCTCCCTCTACTTCCTCTCTGATTTCCCTTGACAGTGGGGACAAGGCTGCTGAGGCCCGGACAGGCCAGAGGGAGAACCCTAAGGGTCTCACTAGGCCAGCCAACATGCAGGCCTTCCAGGGTGGCTGGAAGGCCAGATCCTAGGAATGGAATTGACTGAGGACACACAGAGCCGGGTTTAGGAGGGGATAGGCCAGACTGGAAAAGAGAGCATGGGACACTAATTACTATTCCTTTCTGTCTGTCCCTCCTCATCAAGAATCCTGTTGCTCTGGGTAAAGGGGAGTTTTTGCTGGGGACATCAGCATGACAGTAGTCAAAATGACATATGCATGCAGGATGTGGGGCCAGGGTAGTGTGTGAGTTCCTGCACCTCTTCGGGGAGCTAGGGGCAGTGTGAGTTTGGGAGAGGTGTGTATGTGTGCATAGCCCTGGATGGGTAGGGGATTCTTGTGTGTAAGATTCTGCGTCCTTGGGTGCCAGTTCACCTGAGGAGGGTCTTCATGCTGCCTGGGGTTGGGTGAGTATGCGTTTGTCTGGGGCGGGGAATGGGTGCGGGGGAAGAACTTGTATGACAGCTTGAGTTTAGAGCCATGAGGATCCGTGAGGTCCAACCGGGTGCAGCAGGGCACAGAGTGGGCAGGTGGGTCCCCTGGACACCCCGCCCAGTGCCGCCTCCCCCTCGCCCTCCCCGCAGGCACCCACTACCTGCGGGGCGTGAACAACGCTCGGCAGCCGTGGCACAGCGCTGAGGGCCGGCTGCAGTACGGGCTGCGGCCGGCAAACCCCACCGAGGAGGGGCTGGCTAGCCTGCACAGCGTGCTGTTCCGCAAGCAGCCCTTCCTGTGGCGCGCCGCCCTGCTCTACTACACCATCCACCGCGCCGCGCGCATGTCCTTCCGCCAGCTCTTCCAGGACCTGGCGCGTTACGTGCAGGACGCCGACGTGCGCTGGGAGTACTGCGTGCGCGCCAAGCGCGGCCAGACCGACACCTCGCTGCCGGGTGGGCACCGGCGCAGGGGGAGTGCCCTGATTTGGGGGGCGAGGGGCCCCGCTTCGGGCCTGGGTGCTCACAGCCTTCTGGTCTCTTATGTCCACAGGCTGCTTCAGCAAGGACCAGGTGTACCTGGATGGCATCGTGCGTATTCTGCGGCACCGACAGACCATCGATTTCCCACTGCTGACCTCGCTGGGCAAGGTGAGGGGCCACGGACTTGCAGAGGTCCCAGCCAGCTCTTCCCCTCACCGCAGTATTCCCTGAACCTCTGATTGGTGCTCGACTGAGGACTGGGTGCCAAGGCTCTCTGGTGGGGGGTTGGGGGGGGTGTGAGGGGAGTGGAGCACAGGAGATGAAATGAGTCTGGAAGCCGAAATTAAGTTTGACCCAGCCCGCAGGTATCTATGTGGATACTGCATCTCAAAGGAGGTGGGCATTCTATGCCAAGGGAGCAGTCAGGAAGGCCTGGGGAGGCAGCCTGGAGAAACGGCTAGGGACCCAGTCCCTGGCACTGGGTATTTGTGTCAGGCTGAAGGATGTGAACTGCATCTGAAGCAGTGGGGAATCAGAGGAGCTTTAAGCAGAGGAGTGGCACAGATGTTTGAGACTTTAGAAGGCTTCCTCTGGATGTCATATGAGAGATGGATTGGAGAGAGGCCTAGGGAAGGGAGTGCAGAGGGAAGTGGGGGAGGCCTTTCCAATCACTCCTGCAGAATGGATGGTGGTCTGGCCTAACCTGGCAGTGGACATGCAGTTGGAGAGGGAGGGACAAGCTGGAAAGCTCCTCAAAGAGTGGAATCCCTTTAACTCAGTGGCCACTCTGAGTGGGAGGGTGACAGAGTCCAGCTCCCTCCCTAGAATCTGACCTAGGGGACTGTGAAGAGAGTGGGGCTGGCATAAGCTGGCTCCCAGGAGTTCATTGTTGGATATGGGGAGTCTGAGGTGCCTGAGGGATACCCAGGGGAAGGTGTTCAGAAGGCACTTGGATACCCAGGTTTGGAGGTGAGGGGAGAAGCTGGGCTGGAGACTGGAGTGGGGTTTTAGGGCATAGATGATAAGAGAAGGTGTTGAGAGAAAGAGCAGACACCCAGGACTGGGCCTTGGGGTACATAAGATTAGGAGTGAATCAGGAGGGGAGAGGGAGGAATTCCAGGAGCAAAGGGCAATGAGCCATTGGTAGAAAGCTGAGACCAGCTGCCTGAAAGTCAGGGCGCTCTGCCTACCCCTGCGGCCTGGCTTCCTCCCTGCAGGTGTCCTATGAGGATGTAGACCACCTTCGGCCCCATGGGGTGCTGGACAATACCCGGGTGCCCCACTTCATGCAGGACTTGGCGCGCTACCGGCAGCAGCTGGAGCACATCATGGCCACGAACCGGCTGGATGAGGCGGAGCTGGGCCGCCTGCTGCCTGACTGATACAGAGGCCCTGGACCTCTGGGTTCCAGGGTTCCAGATCAGCCCCCAGAACATGAAGCTGGCTGCTCTGTGCTTCCATGGCCTGGGTGTTTCTTGGGCAACTGGGAGGGCAGGAGCAGCTCAGGAGGGAGGCATGGCAACATCAGAGGGTTTGTGTCCCTTGCTAGCCTCCCTAGGGCCTGGGGACCAGCAGCAGCATGTCAGGCAAACTGAGTCTACCCTCCTGCCTCCAGGTCTCTGTTGAGTGGAGGGGAAGCCTGAGGGCAGGGGGGAAGCTGAGTGTGGGTGGGGCTGGGGGGTGGTTTGGGAGTAGAAACTTGTTCTTGCATGAGATGGCTTTGAGTGTCTGCGTACTCCAGTCTCGCCCTTCCCTCACCTGGTCCCTTGGTGCTCCTTCAGCTTTCACGCTGTCTACCTCTCACTGGGTCCTGGTGGGGGTCTCCTTTCTCCTGGGGTGATTGCCTGAGCCTGAGGTCCTGGCTTTCACACAGACTCAAGGGGCAGGGATCCTGGTAGTAGAGACCCAGCTGGGCTGGGGTGTGCTTTCCAGCATTTTGCCTCTCCCAGTGGTCATGTATTTATTCCCTATGTATGTGCTCTGCTTCCTGGGGCTGGGAGGCAGCAGCTCCTGAAGGTTTGGTGGAGGAACAGGCTCCTCTGGAAGGGAGCCCCACTCTCATCACACACGCACACACACACACACATACACACATACAGTCCTTCAGGCTTTGTGAGTCAAGCCCAAGAGCTCACCTGGCCCTGTGCCCACCCCCTCCACTGGCCTCTTGTTGTTGTGCTTGCCCATACTGCCACAGCTGGTCTCTGGCAGAGGTTGGCATAGCCTGGCAGCAGCCACAGTCCAGCCTGAGGGGCAGGACCCTAGTTGTCTCAAATTCTGAGCCCCCCGCCCAGGACTGGGAGAGGTGCAGAGGTGGCTACTTCCAGTTTCACCTCAGACTCAGCTGTGTGAGGTTGACCCAGGCCCACTCCCACCCTTGGCCTTAGTTTTCCCATCTGTATAACTCGGAAACGCAGTTGGAAAGTCCTCATTCATTTAGTCAGTGATTATGTATAGAGTGCCTTCTGTGTGCCTGTTATTGGTTAGAACGGTCACTGAGCTCCCAGTCCTGAGAGAAGTCGGACAATTAAAACAACAATAACAATGAAGTGTGTGGGCTCTGTCCTCTTCCCAAGATCCCTTCCTCTTCCTCTCTTCTAATCTCACTTCGCAAGGCTGTGAGCTCTAGCCCTCCCTACGTGGAGGGAAGTCCCTCTTCCTTGGCTCTCTGCACCAGGCCCAGGGGCTTCTGTGGAGTGGGGTGGTGACTACACATTCCCCATATGGTTCATGAGGCGAAAAGGGCTGTGGGGCAGGGCCCTTTGTCAGGCCCTTGTCCCACTGGGGTCTGGGTCTGGGGTCTCCAGGGGTGCAGCGGTTACTGAGGATGGCATGGGGCTGAGGTGGTGGGACACAGGTCACTGGGACTCGGAGCCACACCCTAGTTCCTGGGCAAAGAGCCAGAATTGCAGAGAGAGCCCAGGCCGACCCTCTGGAATTTATTCACTTCCAGTAGCACTGGGCCAGATGGAGCCTTGGTGGCGTCGACCTCGCCAGGGCAGTATCCCAGGTCCTATCCAGCTTGGGCGGGGAGTGGCCTGTCAGCGCTCTGGCCTTCAGGAATCTAAAGATGATGGAGGGGTGTGGTCAATCAGGTGGGGCCCCGCCCTTCGCCTCCCAGGCCACGCCTCCCGCCAACCTGGCACCGGGCTTGGGCAGGCTCACACCTTCAGACTCGTCCCCCGCCTCGAAGTCGGGCTCCGGCTCCAGTTCAGGCTCTGGTTCTGGCTCTGGTTCCGGATCCATTTGGAGTTCCGACTCCGGCTCAGCCCCTTCAGAGGCCTCAGCTTCCAGCTCTGGCTCGGGCTCCTCGAGGGTTTCGGATTGCACTGTCTCGGAGCCCTCAGGACCCCTGGCTTCGTCACAGACTGAAGCTTTGGGCAGCCCGGGACATAAAATTCCCGAGCCAGGTGCCTCAGGCGTCCAATGGCCTGGGCATGGAGGGTCGTAGCTGCGCTCCCGGTAGCCTGGGGCGGAGGTAGGAGTGTGAGGTTCAATTTACCCCTCCGCGGGTTGCTCTTGCACACGCCCATTTCTGGGGAGCTACAACTCCGTATCCCACGACCCCTTCCACGCCCCGCCCCCCGCGCGCTCACCAGTGCCCACGTGCTGCCAGTCCCAGGCGGGGTCGGGCGCCCGCGCGGTTCGTTGGGCGCAGAGCAGCAGCTCCTGGCAGGCGGCTTCGCCCTTGCCCTGCACCACCAGCAGCAGGCGGCGCACCCTGCGCTCCGCATCTGGGAGCGCGTCCAACGCCTCGTACTCGGGCTGGGTGAGCACGCCCCGCGCCAGCAGCGCATCCAGTAGCAGCCCGGAGTCGGCCTGCAGCGTCTCTACCAGGCGTTTCCGCTCGCGATCGATCGTCTCTGACGGCCTCTCCTGCGCGTTGCCCATGGTAGAGGCTGCATGGGGGAGGGGGAGAGAAATAGTGGGGGCCGGGGCTCCCTCACCCTTGACCTCTCTCCCAGGACCCCAGTGAACACCACTGGGTCTAAGTTCACCTCAACCCCGGCGACCGGAGAGCTCCGCAGCACAGGTCTCATTGTCCTTCTGCTTCTCCGGCCGCTTCTGTCCCGTCTCCTGTTCAGGCTTCTCCTTCGGTCCCTAAACGTCAGCTGTGGCTCTCTTCTCTACTCTCTCCCAGGACCCTTATCTACTCTCTGACCGCTCTCCCCACCCCGGCCCTCCCTCCTAAGCCCCAGCTGCCTGCAGATCCCGCGATCGGTTCAGACCCAGTTTATCCAAACTAACTTCTGTTTCCCAAACATGCTTCCCCACTTTTCTGTTAAGGCAGAAAGACCCCACACCCAGCTTGTAGTCAAGTCCTTTCCAGCCTATCTGCTGAATATTTCTCTGTCATCTTCACCATTTACTTAGGCTGGTCTTTCACCTCCAGCCTGGACCCTGCAGAGCCCCGAATCCCCTCTGCACCCAGAGCACAAAGTGCTGCGAGCCTCCCCTGCTCCTCTCACCCGCTGGAAGTCCAGACCCCAGTCCTGACCCTGAGGTCCATCTTTCCAGGACAGGCTCTGAACCTGCACCCCCCCCATCAAAGCCACCACCGTGTTGCAATCACAACATGGTCTCATGGTCCTTCCTGGTTCCCTAATACCTGAGCAGGGATACCTGAATCCTCTTGAGTCCTAGCTCTGACCAAGATCTCCTGACACCACCTGAGACCCAGCTTTCTCCCTGCTGCCCTGGGAATGACTCACAGCCATCTCTTGCTTCATCTTGAAGTACCCAGGGCCTAACTCATAAAAGCTACCAACAAATGCTTGCTGAACTTTTACTGTTTTTCTCCATGGATCCTCCCATTTTGAGAGACTGTCTCTAGCAAACAGCAGGTGTTAGGCAGAAATTAATCTGCTTTGTCCATTTATTGACAACCAAGGACAATGGCCCATCCCCTCTTGGGTGGCCTGACCAAGGCAGCAAAGGCCCCTGGCATTAGGGGGCAAAGAGGTCAGGCCCTGGACCACTCCCTCTCTCAGCCCATTTCCCAGGGCCTTGGCTTTGTCCACACAGCTCCCTCTTGGGTCTTATCCTCCCTTTGGGGTCCCTCCTCTACCTGCTTACTTGCCTCTAGGTCTGGGAGAGCAGATTTGGTCCTAGCCTCCATCCTGCCTCCCAGGTCTCTCTTTGCTTCCCTGATCATTTCACCCCTTCTGGCCATATTGAAGCATCAGGCCTTCTCCCAGGCCACTGAGCAGGGACCAGGACTACCCCTTGCCCCTCCCTCTCCCTTCACGTCCCACCTGTGACAAATGCTGCTACTCCACCTCTCAGTGAGTCTCTACAGCATCCCCTCTCAACCCCACCATCCTCACCTCATCTCCTATGACAATCTCTCTGAGTACCTCTCACTCCCATCCCACCACCCCCACAGCATCATGACTTTGACAACTCTCTAAGGTAGGATTTATTGTCCCCATTTTACAGATGAGGAGACAGGCTCAGCAAGACCAAGTGGCAGAACTGGAATCTGACTTGCTCCAGCCTGAACTACAACTAGGTCTCCTGCCAAGCAGAATGTCAGCCCTAACCACCTGTATCCTACCTCCCACTGCCCATCAGAGAGAATCTAGACTATCCGGCCTAGCGGCTCTAGCCACCTCCCACCCCCCCTGGACTGCCAGGCTTTCCCCAATTTCTCTCCACCATTCAGTGCTGGGAGACGTCGTCAAGCCCCTGGCACTTCTAAACCTTTGCAGATGCTCTTCCCTAAGCCTAGAATACCTTTCCCCTCTCTCCATGCTGTGCACCCATCCTCCAAGCCTCAAATGTCCCCTTGTCCACCTCAGTGCCTGAGTGTCCTAAAGGCAGACTGGTTCCATCTCCTGTGTACCTCAGTGAACAGCATATACCCTCACCACCAACAGCATAGACCACCACCGAGCTGACATCACTACACGGTGTACACGTGGGCCCTCTGCCCTCTTCAGCTGAGGCTTCCAAAGACTGTCCCCACAATCACACAGGTGCAGAAAGGGAGAGGGGACAGAACCTACTCAGTACAGTGCAGAGAGGGAGGAGGCAGATCGGATTGGCCCTCCTGCTCCCTCACTCCTCCCGGGTTATTTTCACGTTAGCCTCCTCCTCCCATTACGCCAAGTCCTGTCCTTTGTCCTGTCTGGGGGTGCAGAGACCCCGGCTGGTCTGGGCCATCCCTCTGAGGCTCTCAGTGCTCGGAAGTGAATACCGAAGTTATGTCGTGGCCAGTCCTTCCCGGGTCACAAGCCAGATCCTTCCCGGAGCACCAGGCGGCTCCAGGTGGGAGGCGTGAAGGGAGGGTCTCGGCCCCCCTTTCCCACCTCGCTGCGCGGGTTCTTTTGCTGGAGAGCGAGGGTTGTGGGAAACTGCGGGAACCCTTGTGCATGTGCGACCGCAAGGCCCCGCTCACCTCCCCTCCACCCAGTCCCAGAGCTAGTCCTGCGGAGGGGCGGGGCTCACAGACCTTCGAGCGCGGCTGGTGGTGGTGGGGCGCGGATTCCGCCCAATCTCAGTTTCTCTTCCCTCCTCCAGCTGGGTGGGGTGGGGCTCCCGGTCCGGTGCGCTCCGGCGGCCCCGCTCACGGGTCGAGCCTCGGAGGGGCAGAAGATGACAAGGCAGAAAGGGCTGGGCGGGGTGGGGGTGGGGACAGCAGCTGCGGCGGGGGCGGGGCGCCCAGGGCTGCCGGGAACCGGGAGTGGGTGGGGGAGAGGGGGGCATTCTTCTCCCGACGCGGGGAGGCGGCCGCAGAGGCCACTCACCGCCTGGGCTGATACGTGAGTCCGCTTTCCCTCCCCATCCCGGGCGCTCCGGATGAATCAGGGAGGGGCACTTCGGCCCGCAGCCCCAAGTACCCAGCGCCCACTCTGGGCCTGACAATTCCCAGGCGCTTTACACCTATCCTCTCGTCGACCCTTCTCTGCCTGTCACAGATAAGGCTCAGAGAAGGGGACCAGCTTACCCAGGATCACAGAGCGGATGCATTGCGGAGCTGGGTGTGACCCAAAAGACCCCGCTTACCAGAGGTCGCAGTGGCCACGCGCTAGCCCTGGATCCGGGCCCGGAAGATCCAGGCCTAAGCAGGAGAACCAGAGGCGGGCTCCCCAAGCACCTCTACTCTCCAAGGGCTCCTTCATTAAAGCCTTAGGATCTGGACGCTTCTACGAATGCAAAGTCGCCCCCCACCCACGACTTCTGTGCTCCCTGGTCGGTAGAGAAAAGAAACCATAAACAGAGAAAAAAATGCGGTTTATGTGCGGGGCTCGGTAACGGAGAGGGGCCGCTGAGTAGGAGGGGCTTCACTCAGCCTCCGCCAGGGGGCGCCAGGAAGCTGAGAAGGGCGTGCTGCCGCAGGCCAGCCCTTCAGCCAGGCTGGCTTCCGAGTGGAGCGGGATTCACGTGGAGGGATTGGCCCCGGGGCCCAGGTAGGAAGCACGGCTCTCAGGGGTGCTGTAAATTGTTAAAGCTCCAGGCAGGCCGAGGGCTGGGCCTCCCAAAGCCGTTTGGACGTCCAGCAGGAGTGGCGCCCCAAGCGTGGAGTCCTTCCCTAGGAGGAGTAGGGCTGTGCTCAGCAGGGAGAAACGGTTCCCCCTCCTTTCTTAGGGGAAGGAGAGCCACACTCGCCTTGCCCTCTGGTCAGTTAGGATGAAACATCCATTATCAACTTCTCCACTCTCACCCAGTGGTGAGAGGATGGGTGGCTTAAGTAGCTCTCTGCAGGGCTGCCTAAACTCAGTGGATTTTCCTCCAAAACACAAACTGCCCAGCCCACCTAATCAAGGTAGCTCAGGCCAATCAGCGACCCCCACCCCCCACCCCCTAGGTCCTGAGTCACCACAGTCCTTACCTGGGCCTGGAGAATTTAAGCCCTTGACCTCCAGCTCAGTCTCACCCTTCTCAGGAACCAAGGGCTGCATCTGCATGTGAGAACCCCAGGAAGCAGCTGGGGAGGGGAGCTGGGAGGAGAGCTGGGGCTTTGGCTGAGAGAGAACAGCCATGGACCAAAGGGCTTGGCTCAGCAACCCCTAAATGCAGTTTATCCCCCTGCTGTTCCCACCCCAATCTTACCAGGGACAGCTCCATGTCCAAGTCCATCAGGGTCCATTCCCGCCCTTGGAGGCTGAGGCCCAGCACCTGGGGGGAGCTCCACATCAGTGGTGCCCTCCCCAGGCTGCACAGACAGCTGGACCCCACCAAGCCCCATGCCCCTGCCCTGCTGAAGGTGTACTCACATCCAGGGGCCCTGCAGGCTCCACAGTTTCAGGGGGGGCCCGAAGCAGCATTGGAGGCAGCAGACTGTCTGGGCTCCGGCCCCCCCTCTCCAGGCTCAGAGGCCCCCTGTGCACAGAGAACTGCTGTTGCCTTGCAGTGCCCACCCATTAGGTTCCCAGGGAACCTGGATACTTCAGGATCTAAATCTGACAACATCTAGAAAATGCTAGGAGAGGACCCCCCACACACATAGAGGGGCACAGGGAGAGTGCCTCTGCCTCTTACCTTTGACCTGAAGTTTTGGGTTGTGGAGCTGGGGTCTGGGGATGTGTCTCCTCCCTATGCAATTGTCAACAGCAGTGGTTCTCAAACCACTGTGTACTTCACTATCTTTACAACCACCCTAGTGAACTCCTTTAAAATGCAGATTTCTGAGCCCTACCACAGAGTTGTTTCCACTTTCCAGGGGCATCTGATGCTGGTATTCCTTAGAGCAACTCTGAGAAATTAGGTCAGATCATAGTGTCCAACCTCCCCCTCAACCACCAAGGGTCAGTCAAGGCTGGGAAGTTTCCCCGGGGGTGCTGGTTAGTGCTGGTCTATCTGCAAAAGTGGCCCACAGGGCTCACAGTCAAGAATAGGCTCTCTGCTCACCTGTCAGGTACCTCCCTGGGACCCCTTGGTTCAGGCTGTTGGGCATTCCTGGGCCCCTCAGGGCTGAAGCTCCCTTTCCCTTCCAGGATGGCCTGCACCACAGCCACAGGCAGCGGTGGGGGGGCTGTCACGCAGAAGTCACACTCGTTTGGGGCCAGGGCCAGCCCGGCCTCGCCTTCCCCCCCTGGGCTGGCCGGCTCTTCTTTGAGCAGTGCCAGGCCCTTCTCCCTGCACCAGAGAAAAGCTTCAACCAGACCCTGGCACTGGCCTGTCCCCCTACCCCCACAGCCATCTGGGCTGCCAGGCCCTTCCCCACAGGCTCCCCAGAAGGCAGCGCCTGTCCCTCTTACCTCCTGCCATCACTGGAGGGAGAAAGCCTGGTCCCTTCAGGGGATGGAGAGTCTTCCGGGATGTCAGAGATGATGGGGCCCCTGGCCCTATGAGGGCTGCTGAGGCCCAAGGTGGTCTCTGGGAGGGGCTGTAAATAGAATACTAGGCCCAGCCCTTCACCTCAAGGCACAGGGTGAGCCAGAAGCCAACCAGTACCACATGGACCAGGTGCAAGGGGGAAAGTTTGAGGAGGGATCCCTGGCTAACTCTGTGCTGGGGAGCCTGGGTCTAGTTGGGGGGAAGGCTGGCCTCCATCTTCTCTTCTTTTTGGGGAATGAGGAAATGGAACAGGCTCTCCATCAGCCCAGCTGTGCCCTAGGGAACGGAGGAGAAGCAAAAACCTACCGACTGGATAAAGCAGGGGTCCTGCAGGAGGGCACCAGGTAGGGGGCAGGTGTTGAATTTGGCTGGTGTTGGGCATGAGCTCCCCTCATCCAGCATCAGGGACCTGCGCAGGGTGGCCAGGGCACAGGCAGGGGGCTGGGCAGGTTCATCTCCCATGCCCCTCAGCTTGCACCACCTCCCTCCTACAGGCCCCAGCAGCCAAGTCAGCAGAGCTGAGGCCTGTTGCCAGGGCATCAGTCACATGCTGGAGGCAGAAGGGGCTCCCCGCAGAGATGGGGGCCCTTTGGGGTAGAGAGGGGAGGGAGGGAGTATAGTTTGGGCCCCAGACCCTCTGCTGTTGGGGTGCTTTGGGATGGGGGGGAGGGGGGAATTTGGGGATAGGATCCTGGAACTCAGGGATCTGAGTATGGGGTTTTGGTGGTAGAGTTGAGGGTAAGGGGGAAAGTCCTGGAAGGGGGCTCTTGGGGAGATGGCCATGGGGTGAGGAAATCTGTAGTGCAAGGGAGAAAAATAAGGATTCCTGGTGAAGGGATCCCCCTCCAGGAGATTTCTGGAGGAGGGGTCCCTGCATGGGCCCTCTGGCAGGGAGAGTCCTGGAAGGAGAGGGGCATGAGCTCCCTGGCTCTCACTCACAGCTTTCTCTTAGCTCCTGCGCTGCTGGACCCCGCCTGAAGTGGCCCAAAGAGGCACTGGATCAGCTGAAGAGGAAGCAAAGTGTTAATTCATACTTTGGACGTTGCCCCCACCCTAACAAGACACTTTCAGGTGAGACTGAGGACTGGGAGGAGCGAGGGTGTTCAAGGAGTGGGAGAGAGAAGTGGGGTAGGGGGAGAGGAACACCTTGCCAATGACTCGGTGTTGCTGACCGTGGCTCTGCCGCAGCGTCATCACCTCCCTCCATAAGATCTCGTTCTGCCTAGGGGAAGGTGTGGGACGGTGCTGAGGCATCTGAGAGTTCGGCCCAGTCACCACCCCCCCACAGAAGGCAGGCCTGAACCCGAGACCACTCAGAGGATCATCCATCCAGAGAGAACAGAGTTCCACAGTTCGGCCCATTTGTCTAGATGGAGGCACCAAGGCACCAGAGAGGAAGGAGCTGCCCAGAACGGCCTGGCATCCTGTGTCTTCTGCCTTCCCAGACCCCCCCTTACCCCTTCCACCCTCCCCCTCCCCCGCACTGCCTGAGCTCCCGCAGCCGCGCCTCGGTGCTCTCCTGCACTCCCCGCAAAGCCTGCACCTCGCCCAGCAGCCGGCCCAGGTCCTCGGGGCGCCAGCGGCCGTCGTCGCCGCGCAGCGCAGGCACCTGCAGGTGGGAGGCACCGTTGGATTTGAGTCGCATAGAACAGGGCCAGCCATCCCACCACCTCCACCCAGGTTTACTGGTTCCTGCAGGCCTCCCCGACCTTGCGCCGCACGCGTTCCAGTAGTTGCTCGCGGCCGCGCACGAAGCTCGGGTGCTGGAACTCGACATGGTCGCGCTCCGGCCTGAGCAGGCCGCCCTGCTCGATGCTCACCACCTTCCGAAAACCGTCTAGGGAGTGGGGCGTAGGGGAGTAAGTAGCCGCATCACCGCGCACCAAGTCACCCACACCTGCTTCCCGCCCAGCCCCAAGGACTCACACATGTTGAGTTGCCGCACGAAGCTCGCCATGTTGCTGTGCTTGAAGTACTGGGGCAGCACTTCCTTTGCGAAGCGGCTCTGGTCGCTTACGAGGAAACTGGTCCCGCTCTGCTGAGAACGCCGCCCGCCCACCCACCGTGCGGGCGGAGACCGGACGACGCCGTGAGCGGTGCCCGCTCACGGCCAGACCCGCGCTCTGGTGCGCGCACACACACACTCGCACTCACTCTGGGGACCGGGCCTGTCGCTCATGGGGACACGGGGACATGGGACAAGGCCAGGACAGAACTAGCTCAGAGGCCTAGCCTGGGGCGACTACAGTGAATCCCTACCGCAGCCCGACCCACACTATGTACTCGGTTCTCGGAAAGGAGGAGCAGAGGCCAGACCTGGGTTCTAGCCCGCTATGTGACTCTGAGCTAGAACCAGACTCAGTCCTTCCCTTCTCCTGGCCTCTGTTTTCTGATCTGTCTGATGCAGCGGGGTGGGAACTAAGTGACCTCGAAGATCCCTCGGGCTCTAGGTCTCCAAAAGGCTCCTACCCTTTCCTCGGCCCGGAGGAAGTCGCCTCACCTCCATCTCGCATATCCCCTCCAAGGTAAACTACCCTGGACGGTTGAATAGAGGGACCCACAGCCCCGTCCCAGGCGAGGGTTGGGTGGGCGTGGATGTTCACTGACGTGGAGGGATCCCAGGGACTACTGAGGGGGTCGAGGGGCCCCAGCCCTCACCGGGCTCCAGCGGATCAGGTGGTCGGTGCCCGGGTCTCCCACCAGCGCCCACAGCTTTCCGAGGAAGGCAGGCACGGGGCTGGGGCCCGGCTCCGTGGGCAGCGCGGCTGGCGCTTCCTGCATGGCGCAGTCTCGGCCCCGCTAAGCGCTCGGCCCGGCCGCCGCGGGCTTGTGAAAGCCGCGGAAAGTGCTGCGTTTGCCGCCCGCCCCGCCCTACTCCGCCTCCGGGCGCCAGGTCAGGTGGGGGCCACGTGTGAACCCGCGGGGCGGGGCTCAGACCGCGGCCGGAGCACCAGCAGACCGAAAGTGCAGGCTGGGATCGGCTGTGTGGAGGGGTGCGGTGGGGAGGGAGATCTGGGTTCCAGTTCTACCCTCCTCAGGCCCGCTGTGCCTCCTTTGTTCTTAGGGAGAAATTCCCCGTGCCCGGCCTGGTGCGGACTAGGAAAAGTCCTAGAAGGCGATGGCCGCGGGCACAGTGAAGCACCGGGTAGAGTGGGCAGATAGGAGCGGCGGGGGCAGGGGAAACTGGCACCCTCCCGCCGAACCTTGGGGCATTGTCATTCCAAGGATGCAGAAGCCCCCCCCCGACCCCCGCAGCCGCCACAGTACTGTACAACCGACCTTGTGGTCTTTCTCTCCCACCCCTGCCGGCACAGCTCCTCCAGCCTCTGCGAGTTCCCCGACCCCCTCCTTCAGGGCCGACCCCGCCTTTCACAGGACACTGAGATAGCGCAGGATTTGTTTATTTCACACTCACCCCTGAGGCCCGGCCTGCGCCTATGCCCTCCCTCCCCCCATGCCGGGGCCGCGGAGCCAGAGCAGCGTTCGCAGAGGAGTGGGGATGGATGAGGGTGATCTCAGTACGGAGGGGACAGTGGGCTTCTGCAGATGTTGAGAGCACCAGTGGACTCAGGGCGCCCCGGGCTAGTCCCGAGGCCATCCACAAGCCCCAACCCGCCAAAGGCACAAGAGACACAACAGAGTCATGGAGGAGCGGGCTAGCACTTGGTGCGCGCCTGGGCAAACCCAGCCAGCATCTCGGAGGCCACACGTCTCCTCGGGTGTGGGGTGGGAGGGGGAGGGTTTGCCCCATCACGCCACAAACGTGGGCCGCCAGGGATGTGCCTCCCGCGTTAGTTTGAGCGTGTAGCTGCGCAGGCGCGGGCAGTGCGCGCGGAAGGCGTGCAGCACGGAGGGTCTCACCACGCAGAAGCAGTGCACTTCGCGCAGGCCCGCGCAGCGCGCCGCTAGCAACTCCAGCGCAGCGTCCAGCTCGGCCGAGGCGGCGGCGCGCACCTCGAGCACACGCAAGGTTGCGGCGTAATGCTGCGCTGCGAAGCGCACCGGGCCTACGGTGTCCCCAGATAGGCTGAGGCGCAGCACAGCCACGGGCACTGTAGGCTGCAGGATACGCGTCACGCTCTCGGCAGGCAGCGCGGGCTCCAGCTCCATCTCCACCGCCAGTTCAGGGTGGCGGCGGCGCAACGCTGCCCAGCCTTCGTCGGGCAGAGGGGGCGCACGTGCGTCCTCGGGGCACGCGCACCGCACGGCCAGGAGCGCGACAGGCGCGCGACCCGGCGCCGCCAGCACCTCGAGGGCGGTGCGCGAAAGACTGGCCAGATGCAGGCCGAGGGCGCGCAGGTGTGGGCAGGCCTCTAGAAGCTCGAGCACGGAGCCCGGCCCCACGCTGCCCACCAGCGTACCGTTGTCCAGGAAAAGGCTGCGGAGCCCGGGGCAGCCGCGTGCCGCCTGCAACACCAGAGCGTCGTCCAGTGTGAAGGGCAAGCGCCGCAGATCGAGGTGGCGCAGCGCACGGGCGGCCCGGCAGACGGCGTGAACGGCGTCTAGGACGTCGCGGCCCGCGTCGAAGAGAGGCTTCTCTCCGCGGCACTCCAGGCGTAGACCTCGAAGCCCCGGGGTACGGCTCGCCAGTGCGGTCAGCAACTCCGTGGCCGCCCGGCGGCTCGGCTCCCTCGAGGGCTCAAATTCCAGCCGTAGGTTGTGAACGTGGTCCAGGCAGGCGGACAGATATGGTGACAGCATGCCTTCTCGCTCACAGTCGCAACTTGAGGTTAAAGCGGTGGGGTAAAGGCATTGGCCGCGTCCCCGCGACCCGGAGAGAAGTCTCTGCCCATCCTTCAGCCTGGGTTCCAGCTCCATCCCCACTTCCTGCCCCTACCCACACACCTCCCTGTCCCCGCCGTGCCTGGTTGCCCCAAGGTAGCCGCTGATGCTAGGAGGAGTCTCCTACCCTATCCCTTTAGAAGACTTCCGATGCGTTTGTCGCAAGTTGAAACCCTGGCAGGGAAAGCCAATATTTTAGGAACTGGGCTTTCCCAGCGGTCTCTAAGGAGAGACGGGTCGTGGCTTCTGAACTGCCAGATTCACGTTCTGTTTCTACCACTCCTTAGCTGAGTGACCTGCAGGAAGTAATTAAATCTTTCTGCCTCAATTTCCTATCTGTGCAATGGAGATAATAATACTACCTATCTACCACATGAGGATTAAATAAGTTAATATATGTAAGGCACCTAGAACAATCGTTGGTACATAGTAAGAGGTCAATAAATGTTAGTGATGATTATGCTTTTTAATTTGGGGAGAGTCACCGAGTCTCCCCAACCCTCGACTCCACGGAGAGAGGGAGAAGGCGGGCTGGCGGCAGGAGGCGAGAGGGGCAGGACCCGGCTCACCTGATGTTCGTGTCGTGCCACACAGCGCTGCAGGTGGCAGCTGCAGCCCAGGCTCTGCAGACCCTGGCGGCAGCAACACGGTCCCGCAGGGGCAGGTGGCGGAAGATGAGCGCCAGCACCTCCTCCGGTAGTTGCTCTCCAGGCTCGGCCATGGCCCAGCGCGGGGTTGGGGCTCGGCTGCTCCCAACAGCTGTATCCTGGAGAGAGAGGGGCAGCCCTGGGCTCAGGAAGGCCCAAGAGTGGAGGGGAACTCCGAAGGCTATGTGTAGAAATGCTTATGGCCCAAGAGCTGCTACATAATTTGCGGGTCCCAGTGCAAAATGAAAATGCAGGCTCTTTGTTCAAAACATTATTAAGAATTTCGACAGTGACAGCAGAGCATTTAACCAAGTTATTAAACTATGCATGGGGCGCTGTACAACTGCACAGGTCCCAGACCCATGAAGTCGGCCCTGGATGCCAAAGGCTTTCTGATTCTCCTTTAAACTATGTTCTCACTTGTTGAACAAATCCACATTTTATGCTATATTAGAAGCAACAGAACCACCTAACTATGCGTGACGTTGATAGAGCCAAACACCCGGATTTTGGACGATGCTATGGCATCTTTCTCCCAGTTGCTAAAGTCTTCCCTGGAGAAGTTGGAGGGTGGCTGTACAGGCCCTGACTCTGGATGACCCCATCCTCCCCCCCAGCTCAGAGAGCCGGCCTCGCCTCCCCCTGCCTCTCTATACACACACTCAGAGCCACCTGGACGGCCCAGACTAGTCTCCTAGGGGTCACTGAACTGTTTCCCTCCCAATTTTGACCCTGAGTGCTAGGGAAGGACTGGGCCCAAGCCCCGCCCCGAGGGCCATTGAAATAAGGGCTTCTCAGACAGCACAGGGCATCAGGATCACTCAGACACTTGTTCGCAATACAGATTCCATGGCCTCACCTACTAAATCAGGCTCTCTGGGAAGAGTAGGGCCCAGGAATCTGAATTTTTAAATAATTTTATTTATTTTTTTCCCCCAAAGCCCCAGTAGATAGTTGTATGTCATAGCTGCACATCGTTCTAGTTGCTGTATGTGGCATGAGGCCTCAGCATGGCTGGAGAAGCGGTTGGCACCAGGGATCCGAACCCAGGCTGCCAGCAGCGGAGCATGCGCACTTAACCGCTAAGCCATGGGGCCAGCCCAGGAATCTGAATTTCAACAAGCGCCGGTGAGTCCACAGGTCCCAGGTTGAGAAACCCCGTCCTAGCCCAGCCAGTCACTAAAGAGTGATGATAGGGTTAATAGGGCGGGAGCATTACAGAAGACTTTTAATTGGCAGAGACCACAAGCCAATCAGGAAGCGGGGGCGCGGGTGGGGCACAGCAGAATCCGCCCGGGGAAAGGAGGCTCCTTCCCTTCCTCCTCCTCGCGGGAGACGTCCGGGGTTCTTCCCATGAAGGCCTGGCGGGGCAGAGAAAAGCTTGGGGCTCTGGGGCCTGAGGGACCCTGGGTTCAAGTTCCAATCCTGACCCCTGAGCAGCCCAGGCTTCCCACTGAGCGGTTTAAGTTCAGCTGGAATTCCGCAGAACCACCCCGGAGCACAGCCTTTTTGTGTGTGTGTGTGTGGGTGAGTGGGTGGGGGCGTTGTTGGAAAGTGTGCGTCCTCTTTGAAGTTGCCAATTTTACTTTAAGGTGTTTGAAAGTTTTCGTACACAACGTTTCACACCACTCGCCAGTTTTCTATTTTCCAGGCTAACAGTCCCTGCTAGAATTTGCGCCTCGTGTATCCAGAGCCTTCAGATACCCTCAGCCAGGCTTGAACCGGGGACCCTCCGGCACTCCGTGCTGAGTGTCAGGGAGTAGCAGAGATCAGAGGTCATGGAGCTCGACCCCTCGGAAGGCACCAGAAAATTCTGGTCCCCAGGGGGCGCCCCCTTGTTGATCCGTCTGTTCTCCGCCGGAGGAAGCGGGGCACCTCTCACCCTGGGACCCTCTGGCCTCGAAAAAGCCGAAAGGCCCCGAAGTCCTTGGCGCGGGCAGTTCTTCCTGCTGTCTAACCTTGGGCGCCTGTGTCTTACCTGCTCAGCGGACCAGGTGGGCTTTGCCCAGAGGCTGGGAACTGGCGGCGGCGGACAGTGGGCGGGAAGGAGCCGCAGGGAGCCCCGGGGGCGGGACGCTGGGGCGGACAAGGCTGCTCCGGCTGTGGCGCCGCCCCTGCGCTCCGCGCACACCCGGAAGCAGCGCGAGTCCCGTGGAGCCGGGCGGGCGTGGGAATCCGGGCCGGGCCAAGGAGGCCAGGTTAGTGCAGAGGGCAGGTGGGCTTCCCGGTGCCGGCGGGAGCAGAGGCAGATCCTGGCTCAGGAGAGTGGGCGCGGCGCAGTTGTCACCCGCGGCTGCCCAGGCCAGGTGGTGGCGGCGGCCTATTGGGCTGTTTCCGTGGGAGGCGGGAGAGAGAGGACAGATCTTGGCTCCCGGAGGTTCCCTTTCCCCGCTAGGGGCTTTGGAGGGGTGGCAGGGCCCTGCAGGTGAGAGGGCGGGGCGGGGCTGGTTCTGGACAGATCTGTCAGCAGAGACCCCATGCCCGCCTCAGCCAGTCGCACGTGTGAAACCCCAGCCTAAGGGTGGGCTAGTGGGAGGCTGGGGAGCCCCCTCCAGAGCTCGGGAGCGGCGCAGCTGAGTAGGGGGCGCTCCTGGCCGGACGCAGGGAGTCGCAGGCTTTCAATCCTTGAGGGGCCACGCCCGCAGGCCGTCACCGCCCACCCGGCCGGAGATGGGGCTGTCCGGGAACTGTTAGGCTGTTAATGGGGCGCTGCGCCGGGCTGGCCCCTGGGGGTGGGGACGTATTTTCTTGAGTGGGTACCCACGTGTCCCTCACAGTCTCAGCCCAGCTAAGTGTTCCCAGGACCCAGCGGCCCCGCCCTCAGAGAGGCGGACTCCGGGTGGGTGGGGCGCGGGGCTTCCCGAGGAGGGGCTTCTGTGGAAAGACACGTAGGAAGGAGCCCCCAAGGGGACATTGGGATCCAAAGTCGCCGGCCTCTTCTCAACCCTGTTATCTGACCCTCTCATCCTCCAGTCTGACAGGCCTGTTTGACTTCTCGCATTCGCCCAGTCCTAGTGAGTGTGATGGAGCATCCTCCCTCCTTCAGGTTTCCAGTGCCCCCCCCCCCGCAGGCCTGATGGGCAGACTCTGGCCCCGTCCCGCCCCCACTTCCACCCCTTGCGGCAGGACGCCATCCATCGGGGGGCTAAGAAGACAGGAAAGAGGAAACGTTTTGAGGGCAGGTTCCCACACCCTCCTACCCTCCTGGGCTACTACCCCAGGGCTCCCCATTTGTCTTCCTACTGCTCTTGGTCCCACTTGTCACCTACAGTCTCACTCCGTTTTTGTTTTCTTTTGCTTTTTAAGAAAAACAGTTATTTTGCCTTTTTAATACAAAGGAAATATGTCTATTTAACGTAAAGTAAAATATTTGCTAAATACAATGAAAATAAAAATCCCCCCAAATCTCCCCCCCCAGGTAAACAATACTAGCTTTCTGTTAATTTCCAGACTATCATTTTGGGTAAATCACAAGTATTAAGATGTTTTCTACCTAAAGGCTATGGGGGGGAGGGGGGCCTCAAAAAGCATGGATCCTGTGCTTAGACCCAGGCTAGGACCATCACCAGATGTCGTTTCTCTTGTCTGGGTGATGCTGGAGGGCCCCTGCCCAGTTACTTTCCCAGCTTTGGCTCTCAGGTTAGGGTCTGGGGGCAGATCTGAAACAGAGCCTGTGCTTTGAGCTCAGGATCCCTACTTCCTCCCCAACGATGTCCAAGAGGCTGTGGCCCTGGCTCCTCCTGGCACCCCTCCCGTGAGGTTCCCTGTCCCTCATGTAAATAGATGCCAGCTGGAGCCACCCCATCTGTCCTGCCCAGAGCAACGATGTCCAGGATGCTCACAGCTGGGGCTGAGCACCCCTCCTAGCCCACCATGTGGAAATGCCAAAGACCAGAGAGTAAAGAAATGTGACAGATGGGGCAGGAGGTGGGGTCTTAAACCCATGTTTCTAGGAGAAGGGTGGGATATTGCCTCAGGCGAGGTGGGGAGGAAGAGGCAGGGCAGTTCCCCCCCTGCTGCCTCAGGGTGCAGTAACTGGGAGGCCACTTGAGCTGAGGGTTAGTGCAGTGGTTCCCTGGCTGGAGTTTTGCCTCCTAGTCTAGGGCTAGAGTATTGTCAGAAGACAGATGGAGGAGATACTAGCACCAAGGGGCCCTGGCTCTGTCTGGACAGGGAAGGAATTTGTAATAGAACAATCTGAGTTGCATAAGACAAGAGCCCAGCTCCAAGGACTTGAGAATAGAGTAGGAATGATTTAGCTCACATAACCGAAAAGTCCAGGATGCACCTAGAGCCAGGGGCATAGTGTGGTTAGGGGTACACCTCTTCCTCTCTTGGCTCTGTGTCCTTCTGTGTCCATTTCAGTCTCAGCCAGGCTCTTCCCAAGCAGTGGCAAAGGAGACCTACTTTTCCTTCCAGCTCAACCCGAAGGGAAGGAAAACCAATGCCTCTCTCCTATTGGTCCAGCCAAAGTAGCAGGTTGATTCTGATTGGTTCAACTTGAATCCTATGTCCAACCTCTGAACTGTTCATGTTAGAAAGGCAAATGGCATAGGCAGATTAGTCAGGCTTGTTTCACATGCCCACACCTGGAGGTAGGGATTAGGGTTAGCCCTCCCAACAGGCACATGGATTGAGAAGAGGGAAGAGGGAAGGCCCTAAAGGTCGGTCAGGATTGGGAAAAGGAATCTGGGCAGGTGCAAACTACAGGTGTCCTTTGAAGTGAAGCCAGGACATACAGTAGGAATGCAGGTGAGGAAGCCAGGACATACAGTAGGAATGCAGGTGAGAATACCTAAGGGGAGGCTGTAGTCCCGCGGGGATTCTGGGGGCTCAAGTTTAAGCTGAGAGCATACCAGGACATGGGTCCTGTTGGCTGTGGGACATGGGCACCATCCATCCAGGATGAAGATGTCTCCTGTCAGCTTTGGTACGAGAGACACTGTAGCCTGAGGAGAGGGCAGAACTTCTCTGCCTCCGCTGCAGGACAGTACTTCTCTCTGCCACTGTGACCCTGGGCTCCTTCTCTGAGAAGGCGATGGGAGAACAGTCCTCACTGCACGTCTGAGCTAAGCTGGGCTGAGCACTGCCAGAAGCACAAGGGGCTGCCTGTGGGATGATGAACTTCCCCTCACAAGTGTGCCAGCTGGGTGGGGACAGCTGAGTGTCAGCTGAGGAGCGGACAGCTGGGCCACGTGGGACTGGACAGTTGTCTCCAGGGCTGGGTTGGGAGTGATCTGGATGCCTATATGCATCTCCAGGAGGCAAGATGGCGGCTGGGCCAAATGGGATTGAGGAGTGGGTGGGCAGCGCATACCTGTTTGTGGAGTCCTCGCTGGACAAGGTGATCCTGTCGGATGCCTACGCTCACCCCCAGCAGAAGGTGGCGGTGTACAGGGCTCTGCAGACTGCATTGACAGGTGCGTGGGCGGGCGGGCATTTGGAGAAGAAAGGGCGGCCAGGGGCCTCTTGTGGGCGGGGTCAGGGGCTGAGACCCCCACCTCTTCAACTCTGCGGGCCACAGCCTTAGGGAAAAGATTTGATGGCGAGGGGAGGAGGACGCCTGCTTGCTTGCGTAGACTCTCTTCTCTGTTTACGCACGTGCCCCGTGTCTGTGTACGATCCACCTATGTGTGCACTAACGTCCCCCTGCTCAATGCCCCCCACTCCCCTGACCAGCCAGCTCACTGCTTTCTATTAATCTAGAATCTCTCTCCTCTCTTCCTCTCTCACTGCAGCAATTCTTGCCCAAGACACCTCCCCAGTACCTACCTTTCGGGTCCCCCTTTCCCATCTCAGGGCAGAGGCCACAGGAGACTGAAGCCGGTTGGGGGATCCGGCTCTAGCCCCACAGCGGCGGGAGCCCCTCTCCTTCCGGGGCAGCAGGAGCCGCACTTGGTGGAGGCTGAAGACCTAAGACCTCTCACTCCTCCCTTGCTCCGCCGGCCGCGTACAAAAACGGCTTGGCTGCCCAGGGCACCCGCCGCTCTCTGTGCTGCAAAGTCTCTCCCCACGTCCCTTTTGCCCACCCTAATTTGGGGCTTCAGGGATGGGGCTAGCGTGGCACCCACTCCGTCTTAGGGTGCTCCCTGTGATAGATCCTGGCCTTCATTTTGAGTTGTTGCTGTTTGCATCCCAATTTTGTTTCCCAGCTGGGAGCTCTGGGGTAATCCCGCACCCCCAGGTCTGGGGAGGGGGAGGGGGGTCGGACTTCACCGCCTCCTCCGACCGCTTGGAGAACGGCCCCGCATGGGGACCGCCTGGCGCCTGACTGCCCGCCTCCGCAGAGAGCGGCGGGAGCCCGGACGTGCTGCAGATGCTCAAGATCCACCGCAGTGATCCGCAGCTGATTGTGCAGCTGCGTTTCTGCGGGCGCCAGCCCTGCGGCCGCTTCCTCCGAGCCTACCGCGAGGGGGCGCTGCGCGCCGCGCTGCAGGGGTGCTTGGCGGCGGCGCTCGCCTTGCACTCCTTGTCGTTGCAACTGGAGCTGCGCGCTGGCGCGGAGCAGCTGGACACCTTGCTGACGGATGAGGAGCGCTGTTTGAACTGCATCTTCGCCCAGAAGGTGCGGCCGGGCTGGGGCCGGGGTAGGGTGGGACGGAATGCGCGGCTAAGACCCCCACCGACGCCGCACTCCGCTCCCTAGCCCGACCGGCTCCGGGACGAGGAACTCGTGGAGTTGGAGGATGCGCTCCGGAATCTGACGTGCGGCTCGGGGGTCCAGGGTGGTGACGTGGAGGTCGCTCCGGCCCCCTCTCCGTCGGAGGAGAAGCCGCCGCCGCCGCCGCCGCCATCTGGCCAGACTTTTCTGTTCCAGGGTCAGCCCGTAGGTGAGGCGCACGCGGAGAGGCAGTGGCAGGGTCACCGGGAAGATGGAGTCTGGGGAGGAGAGAGGTCTGGGCCGGGTAACCGCGGGGCGGGAATGGAAGGGTACCAGCTCTGGGGTCCCCCGAGCTCACTCCGCTTCCCACTCGCCCCGCAGTGAACCGGCCGCTGAGCCTGCAGGACCAACAGACGTTCGCGCGCTCAGTGGGCCCCAAATGGCGCAAGGTGGGGCGCTCCCTGCAGCGCAGCTGCCGCGCGCTGCGGGACCCGGCACTCGACTCACTGGCTTATGAGTACGAGCGCGAGGGGCTGTACGAGCAGGCCTTCCAGCTGCTGCGGCGCTTCGTGCAGGCCGAGGGTCGTCGCGCCACGCTGCAGCGCCTGGTGGAGGCGCTCGAGGAGAACGAGCTCACTAGCCTGGCAGAGGACTTGCTGGGCCTGGCGAATCCCGATGGCGGCCTGGCCTAGGGTACCAGAGAAAGGGGCGATTGGCCAGTTGCCCAGCCAGGGTTTGGAGCATCTGGATGACCCCAGGGTCCCTTCTGCTGCTACTGCTGACTTCCTGTCCATCCGCGGGACTGAGACCACACTTAAAACCCAACTTAGCTGAGCTCCTGGAGCTGCTGGGCAGAGTTGACTGCCTTCTCCGGGAGTCCGACAAGCACTCACCATGCCTGCTGGGGTGCCATTGAGGATTCAGTCCCAGATAGTATGATAGAGACAGTGCGGGGTGACCTGCTGCAGCGGTCTGCCTTACCCTCCCCCACCCCAGAAGAAGGGCTTCCGGCCAGCCCTTACCTCTTCACTCATTGAACAGTTACTCATTAGGCACCTGCTGTGTCCTAGGCATCATCCTGGGTGCTGCAAATACTGTGGTGAACAAGATAACGAACCGGCCTGCCCCCAGTTCACACTCAGTGTGGGATTCTGAATACTAAGCAGCAGTAATAAAGTATTACCCGTTTTTTGATGTGAAAAGTACAAGGAGTTGTGAGCAGGGGCCTAACCCAAGTTAGGGGGTTGGCTTCCTGGGAGAGAGATGAGTGTGAATAGGGGAGAGGGTGTGGGGTTGAGAGGAGGGCAATATTCTGGGCATAGCCAGCCTCAGGTGAGGTCCTGAGGAAGGTGAGGGGGAGCGATGTTGGAAGAACAGAAAGTTTAGAGTGGCTGGATCTGGGGCGGGGGGTGGTTTGCAGAGAGCTGGGTTGCTGAGTCGGGGAGGCAGATAGCACCGGGTCTCGTAAGCCATTTTACGGAGTTTGGCTTTTATCCCGAGGCCAATGAGAAGCCTTTAAAGGGTTTTGGGAGTTAAGGCTGGGAGGCTGGTGAGGATGCAGAGAGAGAGGGGACGGTGGCCCAGGCTGGGGCAGTGGCAGCAGACATGGCGGGAAGGGACAAACACTGAAAGCTGTTTAGGACAAAGGATAACAGGCCTGGTGACACTGCATGAGGAATGAGGGGACAGAGGACCCCAGAGTTTCTGCCTTTGCCAGTCGGATGGAGGGTGGGGCTGCCTGCTGAGATGGGGGCCCTGGGAGAGGTGAAGTGCTTGCTCTGTTCGGGACAAGTTGGGCACGTTCCTGTACAACATCCAGGAAGAGAGTCCGAGGACAGCTGGATCTATAGTTTTGAGTTCAGGAGGGGTCAAGGCTAAAAACTCAGGAATGGAAAAGTGGGAGTGGGTGGGGTGGCCTGGGATGAGGTCTTGAAGGACACCAACCAGAAAAGGAGCAGCCCAAAGAGGAAGGAGGAAAACCAGGAGATCTGGAAGACAGGAGAATACCTACCTGCTGCGATGGAGGCTGCAGATCCATCAAGGCTGGGGAGTGTCCACTGGAGATAGGGAAAAGGTTATTAGGTGGGGGCTGTTTCTGGGACATGGTGGAGACAGTCTTCAGACTGTCAGGACCAGACCAGACCCTCCAGACCACAGGAGGGATGGGAGGTGAGGCAGGGGAGAAAGCCAGAGTAGAGGACTCCTGAGAAGTCTGGGAATAGGAGAGTGAGGCTCAGGATGGAGAGTTTGCTTTTTAAGGGAGAACACTGGTGGGAAGAAGTTGTCAGAAGGAGCAGATATAGCCACTGGGAAGAGGATGGTGCTAGGTAGCAGTGCTGGTTCCCGTAGCCTGTCCTCAGAAACTCTGGGGTGGGGTGGAGGGGTTGTCTACTCCAGGCCCCACTGCATGGTCTGGAACTCAGAGGCTCTGAGTCCAGGAAGACAGAACTGGCAGCAGAGCTAGGCAAGGACTAGGCCCTCAATCTCTAGAGCACCTCCCTGCCTATCTGGGTCCCAGATCAAACCCTTTACTCACTGGCCTACTTCAGGAGTCCCCCAAGCTGAACCAATCCCTGCCAGCTCAATGTCACCTGCAGTGGCCCAGGCTTGGTTATTTCTACTCACAGGAGGCTATGCTGGCCTGGGGCACTAGAGACCAGGGGACTCAGAACTGCCTCTGGGGAAACAGACTGAAGCACTCACCTGCGAAGTTAAAGCAGACAGTGTTGACCCCCTGTCCTGTATCCCAGTGGATGGATGGGGAGAGGGGCAAGGGAGGACAGAGGAAAGAGTCCTGAGCTGAATTCCAGAAGACTTGGGGCAGTGTTCTTATTTTCTGCTTGTATGATCCTAGGCAAGTCACTTAAGCCCCTGATGGGCAGTGCCCCACCTGGGCATGAGCAATGAGAGCTGCTGCCAGGGTTGTAAGAATTGAATGAGCTGTCTCCATCCCTGTGTGTGTGTTTGCTGGGGGGCATGGCAGAACCAGGAATAAGGAGGCAGCCATGTGTCCCAGAGGCAGTTTATGGGCCCTGCCTGCCAGAACTAGAGTTCCTGGTGAGCTGAGGAGAGGCGCTTCCAAGGATGGGCTGGGAGAGTGGCCAGGGTGGTGCCTAAGATGCTCAGCCCCAGGGATGTGGGACCCCCCCTGCCGGAGGGCTCCTGCCAGCCCAGGCCCTGCCCCACTGAGGAGAGACAGGGGTGGGGAGACTAACCAGAGAGGCTAATGCTTCTTCCAGCCCCTTGGGAAGTCGGATTTGAGGAGTTCGAGCCTACACTGAGACCAGAACCCACTTTTGAGCCTTCCCAGAGAGAGTTGCCCGTGAACCCTCTCAGAGTTTAGTCCCCAGCGCTCCTGGCGGCGCCGGGGCGGAGCTGAGCTCCAGATGTCCGGGCGGGCACAGCTGGAGGGTCACGTGGCAGCAGCCCCGGCCCCCCTTCCTGCCAACACTGCATCTGGCCCAGGCCGGGTCCATGGCCGCCCTTGGGACCCTGCGCTGAGCCCCGGAAGCCCCGGCGTCCGGGGCCGCGCCGCTCCCAAGGGCCCAGCGTGAGTGTCGGGATCCCAAGGACTGACGTGGTGGGTAGGGAGGGGTAGAAGGGATTTGGCATCAGCGCGAGGAAGGCGGGCGGCGGGTGGGGCCGAGGCTCCGCGTCTCCCTGTCCCAGCCTTGGGACACCGTCCCGGGCCGGAGCTCAGGGGGTGGGAGTTGGCTACTAGGAAGAACTTCCAGCCTTTTCAGGGTTCCCATCCCGTTGGGATGGTCAGAGCCCAGAGCAGGAGGACACCAGAGGGGGATGAATGCCCGGTAGCTGGAGATCCCCCGAGTGTGGCCTCCCGCCCCCTCCCCTTGGGGAAGGCGGGGTCAAGCCCCTGACTGAGTCTTTCCGCAGGGGGCGCGGGCGCCGGCCACGCGGACATGAGGCGGAGGCTGCGCCTGCGCGGGGACGCGTCGCTCACGCTGCTCCTCGGCGCCGCCCTCGGCCTCCTACTCTACGCGCAGCGCGACGGCGCGGCCCCAACGACGAGCGCGCCCAGAGCGCAAGGGAGGGCAGCGCCGAGGCCCACGCCCCGGCCCACTCCGGGGCTCCGTGTATTCCAGGCACCGCATGCGGGCGCAGCCCCGCCAGCCTACGAAGGGGACACGCCGGAGCCGCCCACGCCCACGGGACCATTTGACTTTGGCCGCTACCTGCGCGCCAAGGACCAGCGGCGCTTCCCCCTGCTCATTAACCAGCCGCACAAGTGCCGAGGAGATGGCACACCCGGCGGCGGACCCGACCTGCTTATCGCCGTCAAGTCAGTGGCGGCGGACTTCGAGCGGCGCCAAGCCGTGCGCCAGACGTGGGGTGCTGAGGGTCGCCTGCAGGGAAAGCTCGTGCGCCGTGTGTTCTTGCTGGGCGTACCCAGGGGTGGGGGCACAGACGAAGCAGACGCGGAGGGGGCGGGCACGCGAACGCACTGGCGCGCCCTGCTGCGTGCTGAGAGCCGCGCATATGCTGACATCCTGCTCTGGGCCTTTGACGACACTTTCTTCAACCTAACTCTCAAGGAGATCCACTTTCTGGCCTGGGCCTCGGCTTACTGCCCCGACGTGCGCTTCGCTTTTAAGGGCGACGCCGACGTGTTCGTGCACGTGGGAAACCTGCTGGAGTTCCTGGCGCCGCGGGACCCCGCGCAAGACCTGCTTGCGGGTGACGTGATCGTGCAGGCGAGGCCAATCCGCGTGCGGGCCAGCAAGTACTACATCCCAGAGGCTGTGTACGGCCTGCCTGCCTACCCGGCCTACGCAGGCGGCGGTGGCTTCGTTCTTTCTGGGGCCACGCTGCGCCGCCTAGCTGGCGCCTGCGCGCAGGTTGAGCTCTTCCCCATTGACGACGTCTTTCTGGGCATGTGTCTACAGCGCCTGCGGCTCACGCCTGAGCCTCACCCTGCTTTCCGCACCTTTGGCATCCCCCGGCCTTCAGCCGCGCCGCACCTGCGCACCTTCGACCCCTGCTTTTACCGCGAGCTGGTTGTAGTGCACGGGCTTTCTGCCGCTGACATCTGGCTTATGTGGCGTCTGCTGCATGGGCCGCACGGGCCAGCCTGTGCGCGTCCGCGGCCTGTCGCTGCTGGCCCCTTCCAGTGGGGCCCCTAGCCCCACCTATCACAGCCCCAGGCTCCACTCAATCAGACCCAGGATGTAGTGGGAGTTTGAAGGGGAGGTTTCCCAGGCAGATTACTGCGGTGTGTGTGGTTCTTCCCCAGAAAGGGGCAGAAGAGTTCAGGATTCAGCCCCATATCACCGAATGTCTGCCACCACAGGGTCCACAGGGAATGAAGATTGAGCTTAGCTCCTGCTGCCCCACCTTTTTGGAAGCCGGTCTGGAACCAGTCTAATGGCGGCCCTCTAAGGTAGCCAGGGCTGAGGTGGTGGAGCACCAGGCTTTTCGCCAAGCAGGTGGACATGTTTGGTCCTCCTAGTCCCAAGTAGGTGTGTGTGGGGGGTGATGGCCAAGGCTCATGGAATATGACCGACCATACTCCTTGGTTTGGAACCTGTAGGATGATGAAGACAAATGCAGGTCTTTCTCAAGGCTGAAACCGACAGGGAGGTGTGGAGGCCTGGCCTCAGTCCTCATGGAACTGGCAGGCATTCTGCCACAACTCTCATCTGAAAGCAGGCATTTTGCTTCCTATTTGCCCCTCCAAACTGGATTCTCAGCCCTGTGGAGGTCTTTAGATCTCTTTCTGAGGTCTGTTCCTGCAGCCAATCCCTCTTGGGCCCTGGTCTGGCTGGAATACCAGGATGGAGGCACACAGGGACAACCTGTGTGCATGGTCCTACCTAAAGTCTTTCCCCACCTCCAACTACACCCACACAGCTATGCCAGTCTCCTACTAGAGGCTGTGCTGCCCCCTTCAGAGGAGCAACAGAACCTCTTCTCCTAAGATGACTCCACTATAAATTTTCCCATAGTCTTCAACCACCTCCTTTCTCAAAAAATAAACACCCCCACACTTATTTTAGTACAAACATCCCAGCAATAGCACATGGTGAGCCACTGCTGAGGGCACAGGTCTTTATTGGAGGAGGGGTGTGGGCACGGCATGAGGAAGATTCCCTCATTCCGGGAAATGGGAACAGTTCTGGCTGCTCCGACAGTGGGATGTGCGGGGGTCTCTGGCCAGGCCACAGTCGAAATGGGAAGACACCAGTCAGTCACAAAGTCACGGGAGTGCCACAGAGGCCCAGGAACCACATAGAAGCCTGGGGCAGGTCCACTGCACACTCCTTGTTAAACTATACAGGATGAGGCTGTACATGAGTTAATTACAAAAGAATCGTATTTACAAAAATCTGTACACACAGTTGAAAAACTCACAAAATTGTCATCTATGTATCACAAGTTGCTAGACCAAAATATTAAAAATGGGATAAAATTATGCATTTCTCTTCTCAATTCTTTTCAAAAGGATTAATATTTTTAAAGCACATATGCTACTTTCCTTAGCAAGACCCATGAGGAGACTGAGCAGCCCAGCCCTCCTTGAGCCCCCAGAGGCCTTGAACCATGAATGGGCATGACCAGGGGACACTGCCCAGGGTTGGGGCAGGGGAGTCAGCCCACAGTGCAGAACAGAATGCTGAAACACAACAAAATGAGGAAGATGTCTTTGGCTAATACTTTGGCATTAAATAAAAGAGGCAAACAGGATGGAAACATGCAGCCCTGCTAGCCAGGTTGGGGCAGAGCGGGGCATAGGCGACCTTGAAGGCTGGCTCCAAGAGGGTTGGGAACCAGGCCTGGCATGCACCTGGATGGTAGAACGCTGTGTTTCAACCAGTTGGGTGTGCCTACTGGGCCTGGCAGGGAGCACGTGCAAGAAAGGAACAGGGAAGGGCAGGTGGGCCACCTTGGCCTCAGCCAGCTCATCAAGTAACTGAAGTGGATGTAGTGCAAAAGTCACAACCAAGTACTACGGACATGCTACCTGCTTGCCTTGAGGGTCACGTGTCAATGCTGGGACAAAGGCAGGACCTTGTCCTCATCCTGGGTGCCTGTGTCCTCAGCCACAGAAAGAGTCCCAAGTTTTCCCAATGTGTGTGGGACAGGAGAGACAGAACTCTGCCTCCTTACATGTTAGTCGAGAGCTCCTGGGTCCAGGTATCAAGGCTCAGAGTTTGTGCTTCTCTTTGCAGTCTGTGTTCCCTGTTGGCACCAGCAGGCTGAGGATGGACAGAAGACTATCTGGGCCTCTCAGCCCATGGCAGAGCACCCAGCCTGAGCCCCACGTCTGAACACCACAACAGCCCTTCAACACTGGCAAGGTGTCCAAGAAAACCCACAGGGTGGCACATGGAGGCCCGCTGAGCAGGATGCGATGCACAGTTCCACAGGCAGAGGGGCATGGGTGGTGATGTCCCTAGGGGAGCTCTGCAGTTCTCAGGTGGGCACCAGGCTTGGGGGGGCCATACAGGGTCACTGAGGCAATGTGGTTATTCTGCATGACCTGGTGTGAGAGGAGGACAGTGAGTCAAGGGGGAGGAGTAGAAGGGATGTAGGCAGAGCAGGCAATCAGACCCACAAAAACCACCAGTAGGATCAGTACCAGGGCTGTGACTGCAGAAAAGGGACTTGAGGCAGCTCTCGTGCATGGGGGTTGGAAGTTGTGTGTGCAACATAGCTGCACACAGGGCTGGGCTGATGCCTCAACATCCCCCAACTCATGCTAGGGGTCATCTCTGCCCTAGTGTCTGCCTGTTCCTCATGGGATACATAAACTTCACCACACCCATTTGTCTAGTCCTTCTGGAACTGCTGGGGGCCTGCTGGAGGTATGGCGTGCAGAAGGGAAAACAGTGGCAAGCCCATTCTTCTCCCAAGCTGGTGGGGCCTCTATAGCCATTCACCGACAGCATATTCATTCACATGGCATTCAAAGGCCCCCAACACCCCCAGGCTGAGCCCCACTTGCCCTGTGATTCCCTTTTGTACTATACTCATGTTTTCAGATGTAACCTTCACTGTAAAATGTGAGTAGGCCAGGTTCTCAGCAGACAGGGTTGCTGGGGAAGGATTAACTTATCCAGCAGGGCCTTTAAGCCTGCCCCAATCTCTTTCAATCACCTGCCTGTCCCTGCCATGACCACTAGCCCCTCAACCCCCAGGGCTTACCTCAAAGATCATCCGCTGAAGACCAAAGCAGAATGTGGAGCCAAATGGGTTGGTGTTGTTTGGGGAGGAGGACCTGAGGCCAGGGAAGCCAGAATTAGAGGGGCAGACAGAGGCCACGGCCAGGCAGGGCATCCAGTCCCTTTTGGGATGGGGGCTACTGGCCAGTGGTCTCTCGTGGCTATGAGTGTCTGTTTCCCACACAGCCCCTTAAGGTCCCACGGGTAGTGATAAGCCTTACTCAAGCTTTGAATAGTACGCAGTAAAACAGGGCACAGCAAGTTATGCAATTGGACTGGGGTGGTGAAAAGTCAGGAGGGAAAGGGAGCCTCAGGCAGCATAGCAACCAGGTACTGCACTGTGGATGACAGCCGGTAGCGGCTTTGATGGGGAAAAAAAAGCCCAGGACAGCCAGTCAAAACTGCCTCCCTTTCTGAATAACTAGGGGTGAAAGGGCCCCCACACCTAAAGGTAGGTGGGGAAGAGGGGAGCTATCCCCAGGGGGCAAACTGTCTGGTGCAGGTAAACATGCAGAACAGGTGGCCCAGTCCTAATGCGCAGAGTAGGGACAGGAAATATGTTTGTGGCAACACCAGAAACTTCTGTCATTTCTAAGCCATACTCACTGCTAGGCTTCCCTGGGCCTTCTGGGCTATGAGGAGCAGGATGGGGTGGTCAGAGACAGCAACCTCCCACTCACCTGTGCAGGACAACAGGTTTCTCCACAGGGTGGCCCAGGAGCTCCTGGATGTTGTCCCACTACAAGATGGGGCAGCAAGGGGTTAGCAAGGACCTGACCACACCTGTGACCAATGACTGGCTCAGAGGACAGAGGCCCCAGACTACTGGCAGGTTCATGCCCACCTCATTTTTGGGCTGCATCAGTGGGAAAATAGGAGCTCACCTTGCTGTAAGTCGTGCATGTTTCTGTCTGACCATCTGCATTTTCTGAAAAGAGAACATGAGGTGGTTGGTAGCTGGCCCAGCCTGGATGCAGTTCTACACCTGCTTAGGTAGATGGCTCAGACCACCTGTGACCCAGCCCTTGGCAGAATCCAGACTTGGCCACCCTTTGCACTGGGGTTGGAGTATGGAGGGAGGACAGACAGGCTGTTTTAGAGTTCCTGAATGGAAGAGATTGGAGGGTTAAAGGGAGGTCAGTCAGGTGTGAGCTACACTAGCCAGCAGTGGACAGCAGTCACAAAGCTGGGCTGGGAGCACCCAGATGAGCATCTGTAGGTAGGAAACTACTGCCCTCCAGAGAACAACAATCCCATGGTCACAGGAGAAGACCCTGAAGGCCTCCAGGAGACTACAGACCAAGACCAACGCAGTCCCCAGAACAATGAGCCCAATCCAGAGGAGCTGAGGCTATAGGCAGAAGCAGGTGGGCAAAGGTTCTATAAACCCAACCACTACTATCCTCTCTGCTTGGATCACTGTCTCTTCCCATTGTGAGAGACTGACTCCAAAACCCTTTCTTTACCCTGAGGACATTCACTACTCACCTTTCTTTATGGCTAGTGGGATCTTGAACTCACAGCGGTGGTAACTAGAGAGAAAAGGCAGATGGGTAAAGGCTGGGCCCCCGGGAAGGTCTGACCACTCCCACAACTCAACTCTGCACCCGAGGAAAAAGAGAATCAAGCACACCTGCCCAAAGCATTTACTGGGGGAGGCCAGATTTAGGCACTGGAGTCAAACAGAAAAGGGCATGGCTCTGGAGTCTGAAGACCCTATCACTTTGGATAAGACACCAAGCTTTCTGAACCTATTTCCCTATTTGTAAAATGGGTACAAATGGAGAGATGCAAGGTATTGGACGGTATACCAGAAACAGAACAGTCAGTCAGGAAATGTTCGCTTCCCAGGAAACAGCAAGAATTTAGGTGGAGGCAAATTAGTGAACATCCAAAGCCACAGGCTCTCTTTTCTGGGGATTTTCAGCCCAAAGCTCACTTCTCGGAGGGGCAGGTACGTATACTCACATGTTAAAATTATAATGCCCAGGGTAATTGGTGTGTAGGACAAACTTCTTCACTTTGTGTGTGTTCGCGTCAAAGAGAATGTCCTAGGATAGAAAACAAGGATGCCCAAGTAGGGAAAAGTTACTGAGGCAGGGCAGGGACCTTACCAAGGGCATGTCCAATTCGGAGACATCCACTCC